TCTTGAGTCTCAGCTGGAAGAGGATGTTCTGGAGGGGGTTGCTGTGGAAAGTAGGATGGGGTGATTCCTCCCTGTTTTGAGAACTGTCCCTAAAGGAAGTAGCTCTGGAAAGACCTTGTCCTCCTTTCCTCCTGCACTGAGTCAGAGGCCTGAAATATTCAGGCTTATTCTTCCCTACCCCCTCCAGTAAGAAAAGGTACCTGGAGAACCAGCTTCCTTCAAGCACCTGGATAATACTGGGCTGAGACTTGGGAGTAAGAAATGTTCAGTCCCACAGGCATTGTTACTAACCAGCTACCGAACGCTTCCCATTCCCAATAATGGTCAGTCAACTTAGATTGGCCTGGTTCACTACAGTCTCTGGTGACATGTAGCACACCAAATGGCTGAAGCACAAGCTGTGTCCTTGGTGTTAAGTCTTTTATCTATCTGCCAAAGGCATAGGTGGGTAAGGCTCAAGGAGAAGGCCACCCTGCCCCCAACCTGCATTACCCAGGGTGCTCTGCATGCTGGATAAACATGTATTGCTGATGACAGTGTTTGAGGAAGGAGGTCGGGATTTGTTTCCCCAGAGGATTTCTGGGATTAGAACTGGGGGAGAAACAGGGTGACCTCATTTGCTCATTCATTCAACAAATATTTATTGAACACCTACTTTGTATACCTACTTTATATCTGGGTACCTGTATTGTCAAGTATCTTGTTATGTCCCTCTCCCATGACTGGCTCGCTTCCCCTGGCTTCTGAAAACAGGTGGAGACATTCAGGAAGGTTAGAGAATTGATCTGCTGCCACTTCCTCTGGAATCCCCCTTTAGGGTGGGCTCCCTGCCGCTGGTTATCAGAGCTCTCCCTCCACCCTTGAAGAGGCAAAAGTCCTTGTTTCAGTTTCCTAGCCAAAGCTTAGAATACCCCATGATCACCTTGCAATCATTCATTCATAATAGCTCCTGCTCACTGTAGTGTTCTGGGCTCAGAATATGTAGCTGCCTCGCCAGACATCAGTGATTGTTCCTGGGAATAAAGAATCTATAAACAGAGGCTCGGATAGTTGATGTGACTTGCCCCTTTGCTTTTAGCCAAAGTTGGAATTCACATCCAAAGTTCTTCCTGCTGGTGTATTTGCAAAAAGTATTTATTTAAAAAAATTTTTTTAGATGTTGATAGACCTTTATTTTATTCATTTATTTATCTGTCATACTGAGAATTGAATACAGTGCCTCATACATGCTAGGCAAGCACTCTACCACCTAGCCACAACCCCAGCCCATGCAAAAAGTATTTTTTATTTACGCACTCTTATTAGTGCCAAAGATGAGTCATAGCCCTCCCTAATCCCCCACTTCCACCTACAGATCTGGGATCTTGTGGGATGGGGGTGGGGCAACTGGGGTATAAGGAATAATAATAATATTGGTGGAGATTCAGGAAAGATACACACCTTTAAGCCATTAGCCTGGGTTGGTAACCTGGACAGGGTACTGCTGATGCTGCCCTTGGTGGAGAGGAAAAACTATAACCCTGGGCAACAGGAAAGGAGGAGAAGATCTCATACTCCAACCCTGAGTCATTCCACCCCAGGCAGCCTGGAGTTCAAAAGGCAAGGTGTCAGGTGTAGGCGCAGTGACCTGGAGCTCTCCACACCCACTTCCAGAGCCTTGGAAGGACTGGGCTGGCCCAGGTAGCCCAACTGAGAGGGATCCTTGCAGGGCTTCTGTGCCCACCAGTCTCTGTTTGCCTTTCTGTAGAGTGGGTTTCTGTAGAGGAGGTTGCAGAGGTGGCCCTCCTCTGTGTCCTGGGATCTGGCAGAGTGGCTTCTTGGCGCCAGAGTTTGGTCAAGGGCTGCCTGGTTTCTGTGAACAGGGACACCGTGGACTTTGCCGCAGTTGGCTGCATGAAAGTAGCTGCCTTGAGGTGCACTTTGCTCCCCCGAGTGCCGGGATTGCTTCCCTGAAGTCTTTGCTAGCAAGAGTGTCTTGCTTTGGGACAGGGCTTCTGGGGCAGAGTCAGGAGGCAGATAGGGCCACTGACCCCATTGAGACAGGATGGGGTTTCTTTCTTTCTTTTTTTTTTTTTTTAATTTTTTTTAAAGAGAGAGAGAGAGAGAGAATTTTTAATATTTATTTTTTAGTTTTTGGTGGACACAACATCTTTGTTTGTATGTGGTGTGGTGTTGAGGATCCAACCCAGCGCACCAGGCATGCCAGGCGAGCATGCTACTGCTTGAGCCACATCCCCAGCCTGAGGGTTTCTTTCCTCTTTGGATTTTTGTGCTCAGCCCAGGCCTGGCTCCCAGGAGTTGAGTGTCTGGCCATTTCCTGTTCTCCAAAGAGGACACAGTGGCAGGAGCTGCTGGATTTTCTTGAATCTATGGCCCTCTTCCAAGAAGAGGGAGAGGAGTGACATGCAGCAGCGAGGGTACTAGGCATCTTGTGAAGTGGACCCTGGCAAACCTCATTCCCTGCCACGGTGCCTCAGGGAGAATATTTTCAGCTCCACTTTGCAGATATGGAGACCAAGCTCAGTAACTGTCCTGCAGGTATGCAGTCCATTCTGGTTTCCATTACTGCTTCTAAGCCTTCTATAAGGGGACAGGTGATGGCCTGCCCCAGCCTCTGATTATCTAGCTGAGAGCAAGAGGTCTTTGTGGGAGTAGGGGCATGGGGTGGGCAGGACTGCTGGTGGGAATGAGCTGTCTCTTGTACAGGAGTCCTCTTCCTCCCCGTCATGGCCTGGAGGGATTTGGGGGAACTCTGGATTGGGGGTTATTGGTCCTGTACCTCCAGCCTGGTGCTCTACTCTCTCCTGCTTCCCAATAGGGCTTGGCTTCAGGGTAGGGGCTTCGCCATCTGCTAGAGTAGGGGTGTCTGTCTCTTTTCCCTTGTCTCCCCTGCGTCATTCAGGAGACAGCCTTGGAGGTCCCCAGCCTCAGGACAGTGTGTATTCCTGCGTGTATGTGTGTGTGAAAGTGGGTCATGGTCTGGATTCCGGAGAATGTTTTTCCTGGCAGGCCCCTGTGGGGGTGGGGGAGGCCGGGGCCCAGGCAGGGGCATGTGCTGCCTACCAGGCAGAGGCCAGCAGACTGGGTGGTGACAGTGCTGGGGCACTCTGCCAATGCCTTGCAGTTATTGGGAAAGACAGTGGGGCTCTCACTTTGGGGGCTTATGGAGGCAGAGACCACCCAGTTTTAGTTTTCTGTGTGTGTTGGTATGCACTTTGGAGAGAATGGAAGATGCTGTTGGTGGAGAGGGGGGGTGGCATGGGAGAGGGGTTCTGAGATAAGCTTTGGTTGGGGTTGGGGGTGGGCTCAGGCCAGTCATCCCTTTACTTCCAGAATGCAACTGGCCTTCTTCCCAGAGAGTGGTTCTCCTATCATTTGCTTAATATTCCATCATTAGACTTTTCCTTTGGATCTTCTTGATAGGGAAAGTACCCCATTAGAGGGTGGGGTTACCCCCTGAAATTATCTCTGGTTAAAGTGCGCCATGGTAGGGGAGATTGAATCCCAGCTTCTCAGCTTTCCTTTCTTCTGTCCCCTCCTCCAGGTGTCTTAAAAGCATCTTTTGAAAAGCTTGCCTTGCAGGGAAATCCCTTGATGGACAGCCAGGGAGCTCTGTCAGCTCTGTGACTGGGCACAGCGCACTTTTGAAGTCCCCTGGCCCCTCCTTGGCTTCTGGACTCCTCCTTTGAGGGTCAGGAATGTCTCCTTTGACTGCTAGGAATTGGGGCAGGGACAGGCCAGCCGGGTCATCCAGACAGCCTGGATTCTGGGGTCTTAATAGCTAAAGCCCTGGTTAGTGCTGATCCTGGGGCCACATCCTGGGCTGCCAGGGTTAAGGTGCATCTCGTTTGCATGGGTTTGCCAGTATAGTACCACTTCTCAGGGATGCGGTCACTTCCTTTATTGCTTTCTACTAGGTCTCCTCCATCAGCCACCCTGAATTAGTCCTGGTGGCTCAGTTCCAGGCCTCTGGGTTTTTTTTCCGCTCATTTGCACACACATGCATTGGAGCTGTGTTTGGGCACAGTAGTAGCCTGCCTTCGTCCCCAAACCTCCAAAGAGGTTCATCCCTGCTGTGCCCAGCATCCAACATTGAGTCCTGAGGAGACTCAATGCTGTGCTAAGGGTTTTGCAGATAATTTCTCATTAAACCTTAACAGTACCAGGATGGATAGGTGTTTTTATATGCATTCTACAGACACAGAAATGACTCTGAGGTGCAGGGCGCTGCCCAAGGTCATATAACTTACAGGTGGAGCCATGATATCTGCTTTGGGGAGTTCACCTCCAAGACTTGAGTGCTTCAGTGGGAGACTAGCTGCTGGGTGCTCCCCTACCTGTTCTCCAGCTGGGTGGGAGAAGGATGAGGGAGGGTAGACGGGGTGTGGGTGTACTCCCTAGAGCCTGGGGCTCTTCTCATGGGGAGGAGACCCACAGAAGTGGGATACACCAGAGCTGGAGCATCACAGGGAGGGTGTCTGTGGGGGGCAGGGGGGTGCACATGTGTATGGGAGCTAAGAGTATAAGGGCTCTCGGCCTGTGTGCATGGGCTCTTGGGGGGGTGGGGGTGGGCCCATCTCCAGGCCTTGTGAAGCTAGAGGAGCTGCCCCTTCCTGTTCAGAGCTGCTGCTTAGCAACCCAAGTGCCACTTTGCATAAGCAATGAGGCCTTTCTAGCTCTAGAGCAGGAGGAGTGGTCTGGGAGATAGAACTGACCTTCTGAGGCTTTTGGGGGCTGCTGTCACCCTCACCTTCAGGCTTGCCCTCCTGCAGAACTCCAGTGGCTGCCTGGTAGAGGGTGGGGTGGAGAAGGGAGTGTCATCAGCCACCAGAACCTGTGACCTGAGATGCCCCCAGCCCACCAGGGGTGATTCCAAGTTCTCCACAGCTGTGGGCTTAGGACATTCCTAAGGATGGAGAGTCCCTGAGTCTCCCTGCCTTCCAAGCCCCCTGCCCACAGTCCTGGTATCTGATGGGTGTCCTCCCTCTGTCTTCCCCCAGTTCTGGCATAAAGCATGCTTCCATTGCGAGACCTGCAAGATGACACTGAACATGAAGAACTACAAGGGCTATGAGAAGAAGCCCTACTGCAACGCGTGAGTCTTGCAGGGGGCAGGGACTGGGTGGGCGCTTCACTCCCCCTTGGGTTCTTCCTTCCCTTCTGACAACTACCAGGTGACATTGCCAGCCCTTTCATACCTGGCCCGATACATTGTGATCACATTGTATCCTCGCAACAGATGGTGAGGCAAGGGTTCTTCCTCTTATTTTTTTTTTTTAATTTTTATTTTTTGGTGGTACTGGGGTTTTAACACAGGGGTGCTCTACCACTGATTTACACCCCTAGCCCTTTATTTTTAGATTTTAAGAGGATGTCTTGCTAAGTTGCTGAGGCTAACCTTGAACTTGGCAATCCTCCTGCCTCAGTCTCCTGAATAGCTAGGATGACAAGTGTGCTACTTAGAGGTTCCTTAGAGGCTACTTAGAGGTTAGTTCATATCCAGTTCTGGGCAGTAAAACAAACATGCTTTTCCCATTGTACCCTGCTGCAAGATAGGGATCCAGTTGGGCGTGGTGGCAAGCACCTGGGTTTCCAGTCACTTGGTGGATAAGGCAGGAGATTACTTGAACCCAGGAGTTTGAGGCCGCCTGAGCAACATAGTGAGCTCTTATCTCTTAACAAATAAGTAAATTAACAAATAAAAATTTTATTTTTAAAACGAGGGATCCAGCGATTAAGTGACCTGCCCAGTAATTGACAGGCTTCTTCTCTCATCTGAGCACTTAATAGGCTTTTGGGGGCTCCTTTTATCAGTGTCCCCACTCCTTTTTTTTTTTTATGGTGCTGGAGATTGAACCCAGGGCCTTGTGCATTGGAGGCAGGCACCCTACCAACTGAGCTATATCCTCAGCACCTGGTGTCCCTTTTATACTCTGTTGACCCTGGCTCCCAGCCCTAGAGTTTGTTTCTGAGAAGTGGGGACGAGAAGCAGGGTATGGCCTGGCCTAGGCAGATCTCTTCCCAGCCTAGCCTGGTAGACCCTTGGACACTGCTTTTCTGAATGTAATTAATTTGCCTGCTGGAGGCAGAGGTGGAAGTTGAGAGGCAGTTGTCTCTCACCTGGGAGGAACACTGCCTGGTCCATCTCAAGCAGCTGCACAGTGCCCCAACCCTCCATTGTCAAGGTGACCTCTTAAGTAGCAAGTGCAAACTCAGTGTCAGGTCCATGGCACATGGGAGCTTCAGAAGGTCATATTGCCTGCAAGTGGGTGGAAAGATCAGTATTCTATAAATGTAAGATCTCATTTTAGTCCAGTTTTGGTTTTTAAATTTTTTTAAGCAGGAAAAAAAAAATCACACATACTTCATTACATGTCTAAATACATGGGCGTTTTAGACTTCTGGTTTTAAATTCTCAGTCAGGAGGCTCTTTGCAGCTGAAGTTCACCCAGGAAGGGAAATTTGGAACTTGTCTAAAAAGGGTTGATTGGGAGCTTAAACCCCTTGGAGGGACTGTCTCCCTTCTAGCACATTCCCAGTCCCCTCCTAATACCACACTGCCTGTCTCTTTGGGGTTTTGCACATTCATTGGACATTTATTTCTTACCTGATTCTCTGTGTCAACCTGGGCCAGTTGTTAGGAAACCAATTTCTGAAAAAATGTCAAGCCCAAGGGGCATCTAAGCATCAGCTCTCCCTGAAGGGCAGGAGCCTTGGAAGGGCCACAGCTCCATGCTGGCTCCTCCTGCAGCTGCCCCTCTCTTCTGACTTCTGTTCCTCTAACCCCCACCATCCCCTCCCAGCCCCAAGGGAAATGGGACATTCTTCAAATTCTTAAGGGCTCACACAAGCCCTGATTCTCTGCCACTTCCTCCCTCCTTTGGGGAGTGGGGTGGGGTTCAGAAAAGCCAGGGCACTTAACTCCTTGGCTGCTGGCTGCTGGACCACTTCCGGCTGGACTCCGGAGCCTTTTTTGGGGGCAGCTTCGAGGCCTCCACTCCTGGGCATAAGTTCAGTAGCAGGTGCCGATGCTTCACATCTCTTCTATATTCCAGCAGCTTAAAACTCAGTGAGCTTTGGAAGTTGGAGAAAGAAATCAAAGGCTTGACCTTATTTTCTCTGCATTTTCTTAGCTTAGTGTCAAAGGTCTGGTTTACTTTTCTCCCAGTCTTCTGGGGAGGCTAGCAGCAAGTGGGTTTGGGGGTTCCTGCAGGGGTTGGGGGTGCTGGGAGAGGCAGAAGATGTAGCCTTCCTCCCTAAAAGGTAGAAGTTCTCTTCTCTCTCTCTCCTGGCAACCAGCCAAAGAGGGGTTGTTCCCCTCCCCTCCCCTTTCTAGCCTTTACAGTCCTAGCTTTGCATGTAGTTAACCTTTGACCCCTGGACCAGTTAGGTGTTGGCTGGGAAGGACCCTGGATGAGAGGGGAGGCGTGGCAGATGTGTAACCCAGCTGTGCTTGTTCCTGCTGAAGTAGCACCTTGCCCAAAACTCAGATGCTCCCTCTGTTCCTCAGCCTCAGCCACATCTGGGCCAGCAAGCCCTATGTGGGAGTCCATCCTCTGCACCCGGGAGCCTCTGTTTCTCCATAGTTAAAATTCCTACCCAAGGATGCTAGACCCTAAACCTGCCTGCCTTTGGCCCCATCCTTCAGTGACATTCATCAGATTTCTGCATCCTGGGGTTTCTGAGGGTAGCTTCTCCATTCCTGTGCTGGCTGGACTTTGTGGACCACAGCTTAGCTTGGCTCAGCTTCCTTCTGTGAAACACCCCACGCCCTGCTGGGCTAAGCCCCATGTAGGACCCAAAAGGGCAGGTGGTGTCTCTTGGCATTTTGCCAGGTAGCTGGGCCCACCCAGTGAGCCAGGGTGTGAGTGTGGTTGACAGGGAGGTCTCAATATTGGGCCTGTCCCTGACCCATTGGGGGCGGGGGCAGGGCATCAAGACAGAAGCGAGCTGTCTCATTTGTCTGTCCTTCTGTGAGGACTCTCAAGACCAAGATTGAAGTTCTGGACAGTGACTTGTAAGCAGCACAGAGGCTGCTTCTCTTTCCCTCCTTGTGTTAGGCTGGTTTTGGGGAGAGGCAAGGGCATGGACACAGGCCAGAGCTCTTGGGCAGCTGCCCGGTACCGTGGCTCCCATGTATGTGCAGTTACCCAGGTGCCCGGTAACTTGGGTGCTTGGGGCACCCCCAGACACATACACACTGGGCGCTGAGTGAGCAGGCTGTATCTGCTTCTCACATCTGGGCAGCAGCCACACTGGCATCTCTGTGGCAAGGTCGAGGCCACACTCCAGCTTTTGTAAGGTAGCCCAGGAACTGTTCATCGAACCCTTTTTTGAGTCTTCTAGGTGGGTGGGGCGAGTCTGCTCTTTTGGTTAGGGAAATATTTATACCCTTGATTATTTGTTTTGCAAACTGGATTTTCCAATACCCTGGCTCCATACAAACCTGCTTCTTTGTCTCCATGCAAATGATTTTGAAACCAGGCTGGGGGTGTGGATGCAGAGAAACTGCCTGTTCCCTCTTCCTTGGGGACCTGCAGAGCAGAGGCTGGGCTTTAGGTCTGGAGAACCAGCATTTGGGGTGTCCAGTAAGGGCTGTGCATGGCCTGGGGAGGGCAAGGGGCACTCAGTTGCACCTGTCCCTTCACAGGCTGCAGACTCCCGGGGTTTATCCTTTAGTTTATTTTATCTGTGTTGTGAGGAGCTGGGGGGGTGGAGATGTCCCTGATTCTGGGAAACCAGGGACTATGCTGCTGCCCTTTCCTCAGGCCTTGGGCAGGAGTAGGGCAAGGTCAGTGTTTAAATTCTAGCAAATTCTCTCTAATCCCAGCAGCTTTTAAAGGGTGAGCAGTGTTGGGTAAACCCAGGCCTGGGGCCTGAGGCTTTCCTGCCTCCCCAGAATTCTCTGCTTTGCTGGGAAAATTGGGTCAGGTGTCTCAGGGAGCCAAAGGCAGCACTGGCGTGGGAGGGGCATGTGTGGTGTGTGTTGGGGTGGAGGAGGCGAGTCCAAATGGGCAACCAAGGTGGCCAGACACAGCCTTCAGGCAGCTCCCTCACCTCGATGCCCAAATCCCTGAACTCTGATATCAGACCTTAAGGAAGCTTGGGGGTCACTTTGCTTTCAACACCCCCATTTTTACAGATGAAAAAACTGAGCTCCATCATTTCCATGTCTTTTTCACCTCAATCATTTCTCTTTAAGTTTAGCCAACAGTGGCAGGTGCAGGCTTTGCTTTCTTCTTATTCATTTTTGTCTGTAATCCCGGAGGGCTGGTAAGTTCTTCTTCTAGTCTACCCTTGATCTTTTTGACTGCTCATTTTTTCCCACTGGTCAAACAATGACTCCTTGTTGCTTCCTAACCCCACCAGTTGGGCTACTTAGGCTTGGGGGGCTGGGGAGAAACTGGGTTAGTGAGAGCCCTCCCTGCCTGTCTGTGGGCAGTGTTCCCAGCAGGGGTTTTTGGAATCAGCAGCTCTAACCAGAGGCAGGATGTTGGGCTGGTTTTTTTTTTTTTTTTTTTCCTTCTTCTTCTTCTTTTGGTAAAACCAAAAGCTCCTTGTTGCTTTGTTGATGTATCTTTGTTCCTCCTTGAACACAAAGCTGTGGGTTTTGAAGGGGTCCAAGCCTGGAAGGGAGGTTTCACAAGAAAGAGGGAGCTAGGCTCTTGGGATCTCTGGTCTGTCCTTGTTCTACCTCTGGAGCATGGCTAATGGTGGGGCTGGTGAGAGAGGCTGCCACCTTCCTGTCCCCTGGAAGCCTGTAAATCTTGCAGCTTCTCAGCACTCTCCCTGCCCTCGCTTCCTTGGGAAAAGGAAGGTGACTCAGGTCCTCAGGGGTCTGGGACAGAGGTTGCTTCAGACCTGCCTTTAGTTGGCTGGGCCGCCGTGGGACTGGGAGAATGTGTGGGAGAGGCAAGGACAAGTCTCTGGTTCTTGACAGTGAATCTCTGTTTTTCCATCCATAAAATGGGCACATGACAACTACCTTTTCTAGCCTAAAGCTTTGTGGTGAGCTTCAGGAGAGAATGCACAGACACAGCGTATAGAAAAGCGGCTTCATGTGCCTGTGGATTCTTTGAAGTCCATAGCTGCCCATAGCTCTTCTTTGCCAATAGAGGCTTTTCCCGGTTTTGCCCTCATGGATGCCAAGTTCCTTCCTGGGTTCCTCAGCCTTTTGTCCTATCAGGCTGCCTTCTCAAGAACTGCTGAGCGCAAGAGGAGTGTGGAGAAGCATCAGCAGAGGGCCCCTGCTGGGAATGATGAAGAAGCCCCCCCCAAGTGGACATGGTAGCTTGAAGTCTGTGGTCCAGTGACTCAGGAAGCTGAGGCAGGAGGATCATACATATGAGGCGAGCCTGAGCAATTTAGTGAGACCCTGTCTCAAAAAATAAAAAAGGATAGGGGGGTAGATTGTGGTTGAGTGCCCCTGGATTCAATCCCCAATACCAATAAAGAAAAAAAGGGACCTGCCCAGGCTGGCTCAGAAAGGGACAATGAACAGCTGTGCTCTGGCCTCAGCTCTGTGCCAAGGCCCCCCTCACCCTGCCCCTCCGTTCCTCACCATGGCCCAGTCTGTTGTGGGGCTGGGTTCCAGCTGGGATGGGCGGCCCGGTTCTGTCTTAGAACCCACGTTGGCACCTGAACTGCCCAAGTACCCACACACCTCCCTTCCCAGTGGGATCTGAGGGCAGTGGGAGGTGGAGTTCTACCTGAGGATGCTGGGGAGGGAGAAGGTAGCATTCCCAGCAATTGTTTATGGAAAGAGGTCAAAGCAGTTGAGCCCTAGTCAGAGCTGGTCCTGTGGGGGAGGGGCATGTGGGGAGGGGCATGGCGCTGGTGGTTTTTAAGCCCTCCCTCTAGAGACAAACCAGGGCCACCCCCTTCCTCACCTGACTTGTCTGCAAGGATCCCCTGTACACACAGTCTCCAGGTTTTGCCCTCGGGAATTCTCCTGGGTCGAGGACACCCTGCAGTCTGTCTCTTCCCCTGCCCCCATGCTCGTAGACCTCTCTCCGCTCCCCTCCTGCCTGGAGCTGAGGATGAGGTTGCCATGGGAACCTGAAGCGCAGTGAGCAGGGGAAGCGGAAGGCAGGGTTGTCTCACCAGGGCTGGCAGCTGCTGGGAGGAGCGGGGTGACCCAGGCAGGTCCGGGTACAATGGGGGCCGGACTCAGCCCTCCCAGTGCCTGTCCCTTCCTCTGCCTGGGGTTGGGCTCCTGGGGCTGGGACAGGAGGTTGAAGGCTCTGGAGCTCCTCTTGAGTCTAGGTAATCTGATGCAGGATTAAAATCCTTCCCCATCTCTGCCAAATTAAGTCAACCCAGGCGGACCCTCTCCTCCCAGGCGTCTTTGATGAGATTAGTATTCCGACTCTGAGGCCTGAGCTCTGGTACCCACCAACTCATCTGAGGCCCTTGCTGTATATGAGAGGGGCTCCTGAGACCTTTTGGTGGGGTGTAGGGTGAGGAGGGATGCAGTGTGGGTAGAGGAGGTGGCAGCTGCCACTGTGGACTAGTGTCCTTGGTGTCCAGGAGACGCCATTGCCGCAGAGGGCACATCTGTGTGTTCACTGCGTGGGAGGCGGAAGCAGTAGTGGGTGTCGGAGCTGCAGAATCGGGGAGAGGGTGGGACATGTCAGATGCATGTGTCTGGCTGTCTTTGTGCCACTGGAGCTGGCCCTCTGCTTTCACCCTATATGTTCAGGCAAATGGGAAACCCCAGGGTTTTCAGATTGGTTCCCACAGACCCCCAGCCTGCTTCCTTCCTGCCCCCATTAATGCTACTTGTTCTCAGAATCCACCCTTCACATCTGGGCCAGAGCTGCCTAGAGGTATCCCCCTCATCTCCTGGCTCCTCTATTCAGAGACAAAAGTGCTCTCCTCACCACGGCCCCCAGCCCATGATACCTTCAGAATGTCCCCCACCCCCCATGTGGGGGGAGGGTCATCTCTGAGGCCCCCCAGAGATAGTACTTCCATCCCTTCTGTTCCTTTCCCTCTAGTCTCTAGGAATAGACTCCCACTTGATCCTCCCTGCCTTGGAACTGCTCAGGAATTCTGAATGGGCTCCTGAGCTGTGGGTGGCCTGGCTGCCTGGAGCTGGGCCAAGCCGGGGGTTGGGCCTGCCTCAGACCTGTGTTCGCCCACAGGCCGTCTCTGTTGGCAGCTGCAGGCACCTGTGTTTGCTTTTCTCCTCCTGCTTCCTCCCTGTGCTGGAGCTTCAAGCTGGGTGGACCTGGGCAGAGCACAGATAGTATCACCTAGGCCTGTAACACTGAGTAGCCTGGGGGGGGGGAGGGCTTGCCACGGTCACCCAGTGCACCAGGGGCAGGACCAGAGCTCAGAGCTGTGCCTTTTCTAGTTGCTCCTTTCTTCACTGAGTTTTCTACCCCGAGTCCTGCCTTTCACAGGTGGTGGACAAGAGGGAGGGAGGTCATGTGCTTAGTAGCTCTTGGGTGGCTCAGGGTGGTGTGAGTGGCTGGAGAACAAGCCAGGTTTGAGAGCGTGGGCGGGTGGCAGCTCATAGCTAGCTGTTGGGCATGTCGGCTAGTTAAGGACATGCCTGGGAGGAGATTCTTGGAGGCCATCCATCTCTCCCCCCCCCCCCTTTTATTTTTTGGTCCTAGAGATTGAACCCAGGTGTACTTTACTACCGAGCTATATTCCTAGACCTTTTTATTTTTTTTTTAAATTTTGAGATGAGGTCTTACTAAGTTGTTGGGTATTGCAAAGTTGTTGGGGCTAGCCTTGAACTTGAGGTTCTCCTGCCTCGGCCTCCCAAGTCACTGGGATTATAGGAGTGTGTCACCATGCCCGGCAAAGCCATCTTTTTCTTACCTTGGGACAGCCTGTGAGTCAGGGAATCTGCGGTGGTCACAGTTCTGGTGAATGTGGTCATCCACAGCTAAAAATGGCTAGATCTTGTGTTCCTGCATGGAGAAACCACTCACTAGCTTCTGAAATGGTTGGGACCTCTAGTCGTTTCACATACCAGCGCACATACAGCACACCCACCACAATGACCTTGGGGGACCTTGCAGCGACCCAGGAGGATACAGGAGAACAAGTTCTGGTGCTGGCTGAGCTTCAACGCCTGGTAGGATACTTGTTTATTCCACAAGCATTTACTGAGCTCCGACTATGATTCTGGGAGCTTGGAATAAATCAATGAATAAAAGACCCCAATTTCCCTCCCCTTGTGAAGTAGCAGAGAAAGACCATTTAGCCATGTGATTAATAAGTTAATACTGATTAATAAGGTCACCTAGTGCGCCAGGATTGATAACCCAGGACCTTATGCAGGCCATGGAGGTCGCTGAGTGGCAAGGGTCTGGAGCCAGCTTGCTATTTCCTCCTCTGTGGGATGGGGGTGTCTGGGCCACCCTGCCTCCTGCCACCAACTCCAAACCAGCTCTTTCTGGGGGCCAGGACCATGATCTGTCCCATGTATGGAAATGGGACAATGGAGTTTAGCACGTTGAGGGATCTGACCACTTCGTATGAGCCTTGGCCACATTGTGTAACCTCTCTGGACTGAGCTGTCCAGTCTGTCAAAGTCCCAGGGTGGCTGTGACCTCCTTTCTGGCCTCCTCCTGGTCTTCTCACCTATCCCCAATTCAGTTGCCCAACAGTGCCCTAAGGACACCTCTTTGGAGATCCCTTTCTTCTCAGTGCAGTCAGCCTCTCAGTGATGGCAGGGGACACTGTTGAACTGCTGCTGGGGCTGGGGCAGGGACTACCCAGGAATCAGATGGAGCCTCTATTCCGGGTTCCTATCCTTCCCTGAGTGATGCCGACTCTGCTTTTTCTGTCTGCAGACACTACCCCAAGCAGTCCTTCACCATGGTGGCCGACACTCCGGAAAACCTCCGCCTCAAGCAACAGAGCGAGCTCCAGAGTCAGGTGAGGGGCCAGCCTGCGGGGCAGCTGGTGGGGAAAGTTGTCATAAGCCTGGTTTAGCAAGGGTTCCTTCCCCTGTGGTTACTCAGCAGGGACAAGGTGCTGAAATCCTAGCTCTTGAGACTCCCTGCCCCCAGGCCGCCAGCTACTGGTACTTCCTGGTTTCATCAGAGGGCGGGGAGCTGCCTTCCTACCTGAGTGGCTGGAGAGGTGTGGGCGTCCCCACTGTGCTTCAGGGCCCCTGGAGCCCGCCCCCTCTGGGAAACTGTTCCCCTTGCCCCCTCTCCATTCGTGCCCACCATAGAGGAAGGGTTGGGTCTGAGGTTACATGGTCTGTCCTGCAATGACGTCCACATCCCTTCTTTGTCTCCTTGGAGGTGTGAAGGGGCCTGTCCTCCTTTGTCCCCTTAGGCCTGACTTGCCTGAGCTGTGTGGGGAGGCCCCCGCCCTCCTGTAGGGAAGTAGACGCTTCCTGGCCCTGGGAGAACGCCCTCTTCAGGGGACACGGAGCTAAAAGCAAGGGGATTGGAGCCCTGAGACCCTGCCTAGAACAAGGGTGGCCTGTGGTAGGCAGGGCAGGGCTTCAGTGAGGATTAAAGGATTAAATGGGAGAATACACAGAGGGAGAAGTAAGGGGATTTACCAAGTGTGCAGAGTGCCCAGGGAAGTCCCACCTGGGTCACAGAGGAGGCTGGTACCTGGCTCCTCAGGAGTGGACTGTAACCCAGGGTTGAACCCAGGACCTTGTGCATGCTAGACAAGCACTTGACCCCTGAGATACCCACCCCCACTGCTCTTTCTAGTGTCCAGTTTTTATTTTAAGACACAATCCAGGCTCGCATCAAACTTAGGATCCTTCTGTCCTAGCCTCCCGAGTAGCTGGGGAGCGGGTGTTGTCCAGGAGGTTCCGTAGGCTGAACTCTGGGCCACTCTGCCTCCTGCCACCACCCTGGAGCCCGCCCCCTCTGGGAAACTGTTCCCCTTGCCCACCGTGCTTGGCCTGCTGCCAGATCTTCATGTGACCTCCTTGGCTTCTATCAGGGAGGACCACACCGGATAGGGCTTTCCTTACCTGTTCTCCAGTTCCTCCCTGCAACCCTGTGAGGAGAATGCTGTTTTTCCCATCCTATAGATGAGGCACTGAGGCTTTGAGACATTCAGGGACTTGCTAAGCTCAAGCAGGTAGTGGGTGCTAATAACAGCATTAGCACTAAAGTCTTGAGTGCTCAGTGCCCAAAGCATATTAGCCCATTTAATGCTCACAACAGCCACCCTGCACAGTCAAAGGGGCACCTCACTGTGTGGAAGAGGAAATAGAGGCTGTGGCTTTGAGCACAGTTTGGTCTTTCCAGTTTTCTCTGCACTCTGTGAAAGCCGTCTCCATCTTAGTCCCTGACACTGCTGAGAGCTTTGGTAGCTTAGCAGGTGCTTTGAGTTACCTCACCTGTCTTAGGAAGGGTACTGTTACCTCCATGTTGCAGATAGGAACGGAGGCTGAGTGCCACAGGGCTTTGCCTGTTGACACACACAGTAGTAGGATTCCAGGATTTGGCCTCTGGTCTTTTTACTCCTTGTTTAGTCCCTTGACCATGTGCAACCCTGGTCAGTCTTGAGACTCACAGTGGAGGGGAACAAGTGGGATAGCTGGTTTGTTCCTTAGCAGCAGTTCACATCTGCCATCCCACCCCAGCTGTGGCAGGAGAGCTATAAATGCCAGGGACTGATGTACCCTGCCAGCTGAGGAGGGCCAGGGGCAGAAACACTGCTGTCTGGGCCAGACCCTCACCAGGCCCTGATGCCTGCCCAGGCGCCCCAACCCTTGGAAAGCCACTCGGACCAGAGGCAGAGGGGCATCACAGGGGCCTAGAGGGAGCAGTGCTGGGAGGAGAGGCAGGTTCAGGGATGGGGGAGCCTTTGCATAGGGGCACAGGTAAAGGGGACACACTCCACACATCCCCCACTCTCAGGAGGGGAAATTCAAACTCTTCAGCCTCAGTCCCACCAGGGCTGGGTTGCCGTTCTTCTTGCCCCTGGAAGTTGATCCCTGAGGGGCAGGTCTAGGACAGGATATCCTCCAGGAGGGGTGAGCAGCTGGGCAGGGCTTGCTGTGGTCAGGGCTGCTCTGCACCTCGCCGGGGAGGCTAGCACCCTGCACAGGGGTTGGAGTCCTCCTGCTCCATGCATGCCCTCTGCTCCAGGGGCCTGCCCTGTGGCTCCCCTCCTGAGTCCCCAGCAGGATGGGGAAATCTGGAGAATGGCCACTCTTCCCTTAGGTGTCCACTGAGGGCCAGGCTGTGCACTTGACCTCATTTCATGGGACAAAGGAGGGGCACTTCGTCCCATTGTCCAGGCGGGGACCCCGAGCTGCAGGGGGGCCATATCACTTGCCCAGAGTCCAGTGTCAGGCAGATTTTGAGCCAAGCTGGTCTGGCCCCGGCGTGCTTTGTTCTTATCAGTTCTGCAGGACTGACTGCTGTGACATGTAGCCCCAGGTTGCCAGCCCGCAAGGGTAGTAGGGGGGGCTTGATGGAATGCAGATTCCTGGGCTCTGCCCAAGCAGCTTTGGCCCCTTGGTGGTCTCACAGAGGCACTTAGGGAGGCTTGGAGTGGGGCAGGTGGGCAGGAGGGAAACAGGTTTGAGCGGAGCCTCCCCCTCCCCCTCCATTTATGCCCCAGGTGTGAGGCAGGGGAACTGGGGCTTTGCACTGAGGGCTTGTTGGGGTCTTGAGGGGTAGGGTAGGCAGTGTGAGAGGTAGCGACCTTTTCTCCTCCCACCACCCACAAGCTCTGTGGTCTAAAGGCGTTTTCCTCCCCTTCACCAGTAAAATGGGGACAGAAATGCATTTTCCTAGAAGCTAGGGGCTGGGCCTGACGCTCTGAGGCTGCCCTGAGGCTTGGATGGGCTGAGCCAGCCAGGCCGGGGTTGGTGACAGTCCTGTGGAGTCCGTCCGTCCATCCGTGGGGGCAGGGCTGGCTACAGCTGCCTGTGGCTGGCAGGAAGGGAAGTGGGAGCCTCCAATGCCTGCTCTGCCCCACCCCATCAGGGTGTCAGCCAGTGTCTTCCCAGGGTCCCTTCCTGGGCCGGCCTCCCTGGGCCTCAGCCCTGTCTCTGGGAAGCTGCCCATGCTATTTCAACTTGTTTTTGTCTATATTGGTCCTGAAAGTGGCACTTTGGGTGTCTGGGACACCTATAGCCTCCCCAGCGGGGGAGGTAACCACAGAACTATCCAGAAGTGACCCTCTGAGTGGTCCTGTGGAGCTGGCAGTGGTCCCCGACCCCACCTTCCTCATCCGCTGCCCGCCCCCCTGAGCTGAGGGAGGCAGCCATGTTGGGTGGGGCTGGGCTGGAGGCATCCCTGGGGTCTGAGAAAGGTGAGGAGAGAGTGTTTCTTCATTTTCCCTGTCATTGTCACCTTCATGGTGTTATGGGGAATGCCACCAAGGAGGGCGGAGTGTGCAGTGAGAGTCCCACACTGTACTCTGGGGCAGGGTTCCCACTTTTTAAAGCCACGATCTTCTTATTTTGGATCATTAAGCAGTTTTGTTTTTTTGTTTTGCCAAATACGTTGCTGGTTTATTTAGAGATGAAGCCTCTGTTCGATCCATTCATCATTCATTCAGCAAACACTGATTTGTACTGCTGTTGTCTGGGTTGAGTGATGCGTAAGGTAGATCCAAGGAGAATAACTAAGAACCTACATCCAAAGGGTAGGATGTCATAGGTGGTGGTGTGTGGGCACCAGGAGCCTTGGGCACCAGCCCCAGCTGGTCCATGGGAGTTTCCAGGTCCGGGCGCAGTCATCAACCAGGGATGGAGTCATCTGGCCCAAAGTGTTGAGTTGCACTCTGACCCCATGACAGCTGGGTTCAGTGACCCTGGGCAGGTCCCTTTTCTGCCCTCCGGGGACCTCTTAACATCCTGGTGAGTCACTCCAGACCCAGAGCAAGCCTCCTGAGTGGGCCAGGAGGGAGCCTGGGCCTCCTCATGCTCCCGGCCCCACCTCTGCCACTCCCTCCATCACCAAAAGGCCAAGGCCCCTCAAGAGAATCTTGCCCACATCGTTTCTCTAGTTGGGGCCTGAAGGTGCTTAAAAATGGTCACAGACTTCCGAGAGGGAGGCTTTTAGAGACTAGCCATCCAGGAAGCCTAGAGAAGGGAATTAGCCTATGTAGGGACCTGCAGCAAAGCGGCTCTGAGCCCAGACCCCCCCCTTCTCAGCCCTGCTCCCCCAGCCCCACCCCTCCGCCAGCCTGGCCTCCTGTGTTAGGAGAGTCATGAATTATCCTTCCCCAGTAAGGAACGGAGCAGTTTCTGAGCCTGGGAACCAGCTGATGTCATTGCAGTGTCACCATGGTGATTATTCCCCTGGATTAGGGGCCTGACCCTTGCAAAGGCAGGAAACAGAGGAAGGACAGGGTGGACAAAGCACTTTCAGTCGCCCTCACTGGTCCGTGGAGCCGCTGTCCCAGTGATTGGAACGATTTGTCACCATTATACAGATGTGGAAACCGAGGCTTGGGAGGTTAAGTCATTGTCCCGAGATCACTTAGCAGAAGGAATTCTGAGCCTGTCAGTACCAGCGCAGTCTGATGGGAAGGCCCTACCCCACGTTTTAACCCATTCCTCTAATGGCTCTTTTTACACATGAGGCGGGAAATGAGATCAGAGGCCTTAGATTCAGGGCTTCCCCGTCTAGAGCTACATTTTTCTGTCTTCAGGTTCCTTCCGTTCTCTGATGTCCTCCTTCTTCAGGGGTCCCCCACTGTGAAGACCCAGGTTCTCCCGGAAGAGCTGATGTTGGACAGGTTCTGGGTGGGAAGGCCATAGCTCCCTGCAATAAGTTCTGGTCTGATGGGAACCGCGTCCCACCCCTTGGCCTTTCTTTCTTTCTTTTTTTTTTTCCTTGGTACTGGGATTGAGCCCAGGGGCACTGAGCCACATCTGCAGCCTTTTTTTGTAGTTTATTTAGAGACAGGGTCTTGCTATGTTGCTTAGGGCCCCACTAAATTGCTGAGGCTGGCCTTGAACTTGGGATCCTCCTGCTTCAGCCTCCCAGGTGGAGCCACTGTGCCTGGCTATGCCTTTCATTTTGATCTGCCTCAGAACAAAGGAGGAAGAAGAACCCCAAACCAGGACCTCTGGCTCGTGGGGCTACGAAGAGGAGGGTGGGGACTGGTCACATGTCACGAGTAGCAGCTCACTGCTATGGCAGTCGGTGACTCCAAGCCTGGGAGCTGCTTGGGCTTGTCATTCTGGAAACTCCCACAGTCCTGGGCCTCATGTCCTGGGCTGACCTGTCTCAGGACAGTGCGGCCCCCGTGGAGGGAATCCAGGCAGCTGGCAGGGTCTGGAACAGATGGCTGCCGAGGTGGACAGGGAGTCTCTGGAAGCCAAGGGGAACATTCCCTGTCCCACGAGTATTTCCCAGCCTCAGTTTTGCTCTTCAAAGCCCCCAGGGAGGACAAGCTGTTCCTCATATTTCAATTTCTTTAGTTTCAGAGAAGTTCTGCTTGCTTTCTTGCTTCTTTTCTGTTCTTTTTTTGGTACGGGGTAACAACCCAGGTAGGTCTTGGTCTCCTGGGCTCAAGTGATCCTCCTGCCTCAGCCTCCTGAGTAACTGGGACTAAAGGCACATAGCACCATGCCTAGCTTGGGAGTCCTTTGTAATGTCTGTCTTGAGTTCCTGTAGTACTTGACTTTTCCGTAGAATTCTCACAAAAGGAAAGCAACAGAGGGTGGTTGGATTCTTCCCCAGAAAGTTTGATCGATGCGGCCTCCCCTCTAGCTGTCTCATTACCCTCCCTTCTAGGCACTAGCTTTGTCCTTTGGCACGGCCCTCACTCACTCAGTCACTTCAAAACTACCCCTGGCTCTTGGTGGGTAGGGCTACCTCCTGGCTAGGTTAGGGTGGGCAGTCCTAGGAGCGCAAGCGAGAACCTTCTTTCTGCTAGGCACAGTGGCAACACCTGTCAGCCCAGTGACTCAGGAGGCTGAAGCAGGAGGATCGTAAGTTCGAGGCCAACCTCCGCAGTTCAGCTAAGCTCCAAACAACTTAGTGTGACCCAGTTTCAAAATTGAAAAAAAAAAAAAAGCTGGGGATGTAACTCAGTGGTAAAGTGTCCCTGGGTTTAATCCCAATATGAAAAAAAAAAAAAAAAGCTTTCTATAGCTTCGGGTAGGAGGGGCTGCTAGAGAGGGTTAGAAGGCAGACAGGTGAGGCCTGGTGACTAGATCTTTGCTGCTAAGCTGTATGACCTCAGGCAGGGGAACAGATGGCTGCCGAGGTGCCTTTTGATGGCTCAGTTTCCTTATCTGTAAAATGGGGCTAATAGTATATATGTGGTCAGGACTTAAATGAGAGAGTTTATGTGAGGCACTTAGCACGGTGCCCATCTCAGAACGTGCCGGGGAAATGTCAGCGGGTTATTGTCGCTTGCTAGCCAAGGCGTCTGCTCAGCACCAGGCATTTCTGGCTGGGATCCTTCTCTGGGCCCCGTCTCTATCTCCTGATGGTGCTGTTTCACGGGGGGCCTCCAGCTGGGCGCTCTCTGCTCCCCTGCCTGACCCTAGTCCCTCTTTGTCTCGCTGGTCCCCAGGTGCGCTACAAGGAGGAGTTTGAGAAGAACAAGGGCAAAGGCTTCAGCGTGGTGGCAGACACACCCGAACTCCAGAGAATCAAGAAGACCCAGGACCAGATCAGCAACGTGAGCCTGCCCCCCCCCCCCTCGGGCCCACGCTGCCTGTTGCCCTTCCTTGTCCCCTCCCGCCCAGCCTGGCTGACATGAATGGGACCAGCTCCCTGCATGGCTCCTCCCCGGCAGGTCTGGCTGGTGGCTGCCTCGCAGAGGGCAGGGCAGGGGTGGGCTTCCCAGGTGCCTTTGCTCTATGTGCCCCAGACCCCCTGTTGCCACACTGGGCCCACACAGTGTTTCCTCCTCGAAGAGGTGCCCTTTTGTAGGAACGATGATGGGGGACGCGTCCTCTCCCACCCTGAGCTGTCTTCTCTTTTCTGGGTATGGTGGGTGTCAGGGTGAAGACCTGAGGCTTTGTCTTAGCACAAAGGTCAAAACTGGGGGTGGGGGCAGGGAGGCCTGGCCTCCTCCTGTCTGTCTCTGGGTGCTGACATTGCAGTCATTTCCGCCCTCCCTCGCCTCCTCCCACCTCGGCTTGTTCTTCCTTCCTGTGTAAAAACCCCAGCCAGCTTCGCCCACTGGTCCCGCAGCCCCAGCCTGGGCCCTCCTGGGCTTGGGCTGGTCACTGGGGCCTGGCTGCAGCACAGGTGGGTGTGGAGAGCAGGCAGTGGATCTACGATCCCCACATCGTGTGCCCTTCTAGCACCTGGGGCCAGAGAATAGGCCTCAGTTTCCTTCCTGACAGAGCCACAGACCAGCAGCAGCTCTGGGCTCGTGGGGGACCTTATTTGGGGCTTGTGGAGAATCGGGTGCTGCTCTGAACCACAACTACAGAAGCAGAAGCCCGTGCACAGGGCCCTGCGGTGCCCCGAGCCGAAGGGCATGCCCAGCCAGCCCAGGGTCCGAGGTTCTGTAAATGAAGGATTAGGCTGGCCGTTGTCTTCTGTCGACCAGTTGTCTGTGTGACTGTGGGCTGAGGGACTGGGGAAGGGCCCCAGTTTCAGATGGCCCACCCAGCACCCACCCTCTGGGCTCCACAGCCCGCCTCATCCTCCCATCGGGCCTCCTTGGCAGGGCACTCCTTCTGGAAGTTGGCTGGGCAGTACTTGGAGAAGGCTACAGCCATGGGTCAAGCGGATTTCCAGCACAGGGCAGCTAACAAAGCCAGCCACGCCCAAGACAGTGGCTTTCAAACTCTGAGTTCCACGTATGATAAGAAATATATTTTACATCTGGATCCACTAACCAGGCATGCATTTTTTTTTTTTTTTAGCAAGGAAACATAATGAAAACTTCCATGAAGCCGGGCGTGGTGGTGCACGCCTGTAATCCCAGCAGCTTGGGAGGCTGAGGCAGGAGGATCATGAGTTCAGAGCCAGCCTCAGCAATTTACTGAGGCCCTGTCTCTAAATAAAAATTTTTAAAAAGGGTTGGGGGTGTGGCTCAGTGGTTGAGTGCCCCTGGGTTGAATCCCTAGTACCAAAAACAAAACAAAACTTCCATGAACAGGGTTGGGGTGCAGTGGTAGAACACCTGCCTGGCACACACAAAGCCCTGGGTTAGGTCCCCAGCACTGCAACATAGAAAAGACTTTGTAGTTCTTCATGTCATGAAGGCAGAAGGATCACAAGTTTGGGGCCAGCCTGAGAAACTTAGCAAGACTCTGGCTCAAAATAAGAAAAGCTGGAGATACAGCTCAGTGGTGGAACACCCTGTGTTCGATCTTTAGTACTGCAAAGGAAAAAAAAAACAAAAGAGGAAAAAACTTTCATGAATGAGTATTTTACTATATGGAGGGCTCATTCAGATATTTTCTGTCCCTTTATTTTGTAAAGATGCTGAGTGGAGACTTACTAAATGAGTCTCACAACAAAATCATTGACCTACAGTTTGAAATTGGTGTGCTGAGGAAATGGAGTGTTTCCCTTTGGCTAGAGAGGGCACGGCTTAGAGGGCTCCCACCCTTCTTTGCTCCCACAGTTGCCCTGTATTAAGATCAGCTTTCCGGTACTGTGACAAAATACCTGAGAAAAATCAACTTAAAGGAAGAAGGATTTATTTTGACTCTCGGTTTCCGATGAGATCCTGGCCCCTCGCTGTGGGCTTGTAGTGGGCCAGAACATCACGGTGGGGACTGTGTGGTGAAGCAGAACTGCTTGGCTTGTGATGAAGCAGAGAGAGGAGAAGAATGGGGCCAGAATAAGATGTGGTCCCCAAGAGCATGCCCCCAAAGACCTGTTCCCTTCCGTTAGGCCCCACCTCCTGCAGGGTCACCTCCCAGGAGTCCATTTAGCTATGACTCCATCCATGGATTGATCCATCCATGAGGTGGAGCATTCATGATCCAGTACTTCCCAGGGGCCTCTCTCTGAACATGGCCATGTTGGGGACAGGTGGGCCATTACGTACCCCTGTCTATGCTAGTGCTGGCACCTTCCCTGGAGCCTCCCTTCTGGCCTAGGTCCTCCAAAGGGTGACAAGGTTCTGTTGTCTTAGAGCTCAGAGCCCTCAGTGTGCAAAGTGGGGAAGGTGGACATGGCCTTGGGTAGTGGGACGACCTGGACAGTTCACAGAGCTGGTCTCCTGGGGCTTTTCATTGTGGGGGGCCCTGTGTTTAATTTTGTGTATTTATTTATCTGTGTATTTATGGTTCTGGGGATCACACCAAGGCCTCCGCAAACACTCTGCTGCTGAGCTTCCTCCCCAGACCTCTGTTGCTTGCTCCCAGCCTGCAATCCCAGCCCCACAGCACCTTTCATTCATCGCTTCACTGTGCTTCACTGTGCTTCACTGTGCGTTTTGGAGGAGAGGAGACAAACAGGCCCATTTGTCCCTGCCACCCTATCTGGAAGGCTTCCAGAATATTCCACACCCAGCCTATTCTACCTGCCGGCCTGCCCCCATTACTGTAGGTGTTAATGTCTGAGGTGTCCTAGTAACAAAAACTCCCCGTGGCCCAGACATCCACACTAGGAGATAACCATCTTATCAGCAACCAGGGGCTGCAATTAGCTGATTGTCCTCTGCTCTGAGGTGGGGGAGGTGACCTGACCTGGTGGTTGCTTTTGCAGTTTTAGCTAGAATCTCTGAAGTGTAACCACAAGGCTGTAAAGATTCTTGGTTTTAGTGAATGCAATTAAAGACTGTCAAGTGTGTGTCTCAACTATGAGCATCCGGGCATTTAGTGAAAATGCAGACTCTTGGCCTCCTTGCCCGGCCTCCTCCTCTCTGGATCCCAGGAATCAGTTTTTAGACACATTTCCTTGGGTTATAGTGGTGCTCTCTGAAGTTTCATTTTTATGTTTTGGTACTGGGGATTGAACCCGTAGGTGCTTTATCTCTGAGCCACATCCCATCCCTTTGTATTTTTTGTTTAGAGTCAGGGTCTCACTAAATTACTCAGGCTGGCTTTGAACTTGTGATCCTCCAGCCTCAGCCTCCTGAGTTGCTGGGATAACAGGTGTGCGCCACTGAACATGGCCTGCTAAAATTGAGAGCTGTCATTTAAAATGATAAAGTAAGCTTCACCACCCCCTAATCAGAGGATGCCAGAACTGACTTGGCCTAAAACCTCAAGAGAAATTTAAACCTTACTCAGAACCACTACTATCTTGTGCCAACCCCCAGAGGAATTTTGGGAAAGATGGTGTTCAGAGCCACACCTTTTGTTTCCAAAATAGCTTTCCTGTCTGTGACCTGTCCCTTCCCAGATTAGCTTCAGATGACCTTATTGTTTCTGAAGGTCAGGCCATCTTGCAAAGAGATGAAGACTTGTCCTACTAGAGTCATGTTCGTTCTGCAGCTACCGGTTTTACCAGCATGAGGTTTTGTTTTGTTTTGATTTTTTTTTTAGTGCTGGGAATGGAACCCAGGCCCCTTGCTCTTGGTAGGCAAGTGCTCCACCACTGAGCTACATCCCAGTCCCAAGCCAGAGCATTGTGGAAACAAGTGTCTGGTCTGGGGAACTATTGCTTTGGCTGTGTGCATTTGTCCTTAGAACCACAACGAGGCGCCAGGCTTGGTGGCTCACGCCTGTCATCCCAGCAGCTCGGGGAGGCTGAGACAGGAGGATCATGAGTTCAAAGCCAGTCTCAGCAATGGCGAAATGCTAAGCAACTCAGTGAGACCCTGTCTCTAAATAAAATACAAAACAGGGCTGGGGATGTGGCTCAGTGGTTGAGTGCCCCTGAGTTCAATCCCTGGTACAAAAAAAAAAAAAAAAAAAAACACACACACAAAGAGGCAAGGTACTGGGGAGGGAGAACCCAAGGGCTGGAATCCCGCTTTTGCCATTCCACCACTGGGCGGGTTGCTCAGTTTCCTCATCTGTTAATGCTGGAATAATTGGCCCTACCTTGAAAGCTGATTGTGAGGAAGATGTCAAGGACAAATGTTGATAATAATACTTCAAAGGCAGACTTGTCTGCTTTTTATACTAAACAAGGAAAGTAGAGCAGAGTTTGGCTGAAATTGGCCATTATCTAATGCTAAGAAGGTATGAGGGTTTTTGTTTTTTGGGGTTTTTTTTGGTGGTGCTGGGGATGGAACCCAGGGACTTGTTCATGCAAAGTGAGAGCTCTACCATTGAGCTGTAACCTCAGCCCTGTTACCAGGAGAGATGCCAGTAAGTGATGCATCTGTGGTAATTCTGTCCTCATTAAAGGAATCTAGAGGGCTAAGAGGGCCGGCCCAGTGCTGAGCATTGCATTGCAGTGGCCTGAGCTCCACGGGCTTACTGCACCTAAAACCCCCGGAAACTTGTTACTGGAGCCCCTTATGGAAGCCTCTGCTTTTATTCACTGACATGTTTACTTACATATTGATTCTCTATATACACTTTGGTTACTTTCAGTTTCTCTTTTTTTAAAACTAACAGCATAGCAACACAGTAAATACTTACTGTGTATGTAAGTAAATACTTTGGGTGTGTGTTCACTTGCACGCACACATACACACATGCTGAGAATTGAACCCAGGGCCTCATGCGTGCTAGGCAGGCCTCCTACCCCTGAGCTATAACTCCAGCCCCCAAACACCTGCTTTCTCCTGATGCAAACCAAGAAACAGAGCATTCCATTTCCAGGCCTCTGCCCAAATAATTTTAGAGTGTTAAGGACCAGAGTGTAGCAAGCATCTGCCTCAGCCTAGTTAAATATTAACTAGCTGGAGATTCTGGGTGGACAACACAGGTGGCAGATAGCAAGGGGCTGGAGAGTGTATCTCGAGCTGCACCTGGTCAATGTCCGACAGGACGATAAAACCATCAACTTTGAAGTTATCTTGGCTACAGGCAGATTTCTCTGCATTTCTGTTAGCCAAAAAAGAATTAGCATTTTGTGTTCAGTAAGTTAGTGTCAGTCTTCAGAGTTTGGCTAATCAGTAGTCAAGTTTCATTCCCAGAGTCAAATGGTTCAGAGCAGGCTTGCTGGGTAATCCTCTAATTTGAATTTTTGGGGATTGAACTCTGGGGCATTCGCCCACTGAGCCACATCTTCAGCACTATTTTGTATTATTATTTAGAGACAGGGTCTCACTGAGTTGCATAGTGTCTCGCTATTGCTGAGATCCTCCTGCCTCAGCCTCCTGAGCTGCTGGGATTACAGACATGCATCACCATGCCTTGCTAATTTGATTTTGTGTGTGTGTGTTGCTGAGGATTGAACCCAGGGCTTTGTGCATATGAGGCAAACACTCTACCAACTGAGCTAGTTCCCCAGCCTGTTAATTTGATTTAATATACTTTCTTTTTCTCTATAGTTTTTAATGTATAACTATAGTATATACATATGTTTACATACTGTTATTTGGCTTTTCCTATTTTTTTTATATCTTTATTTTGTTTATTTTTTATGTGGTGCTGAGGATCAAACCCAGTGCCTCACACTTGAGAGGCAAGCACTCTACCACTGAGCTACAACCCCAGCCCTGGCTTTTCTAATTTTGAACATACAGTATGGTATGTGTGTGTTATATGTATATCTTGGTTCTTTTGCACAACACTGGGTTTGAAGTTTTATCTACATGTTTGCGTGTAGTCCTAGTTCATCACTTTTTTGTTGCTGCATAGTATTCCATTGGGTGATCATACAGCATATTATTGATTCTGTTCTTGATGGACACTTGGATTGTTTCTAAGTCCAGTGGACATCCTCTCTTCTGGTGCTTCTGTGGAGTGAGATTGCTAGTCTCAGAGTGTATGTCCCTTCAGCTTTCCATGTGATGCTGAGCTATTTTCCAGGTGGTTGTGCTGAGTTACCATTTTCCCACAAGCAGAGTTGAGTTTTCTTGTCCCATATCCTCAGGCTTTTCCATTTTAGACATTTTGAGTGTGTCTTGTTATATTTGAACTTGCATTTCCCTGACTACTGATGAAGTTGAGTCCAGGTTTATGTGTTTGTTTGTTTTTTTCTTTCAAAGAGAGAGAGAGAGAATTTTTTTTAATATTTATTTTTTAGTTCTCAGCGGACACAACATCTTTGTTTGTATGTGGTGCTGAGGATCGAACCCGGGCCACACGCATGCCAGGCGAGCGCGCTACTGCTTGAGCCACATCCCCAGCCCCAGGTTTATGTGTTTTAAAAGTAAAATACTGTGTCTGTAATGGGGTGGTGCTTGAGAACTAAGACTCTCAAGTCCGAGCTGGAGGCTGACTTCACTGTCCTCTTCAGCCTTGGTTTCCCCATCTGTAAATGGGGGTGATAATGATATATTCTTCTTGGTCTGGCTGAGGAAGGGAAGTTGGTGCCTATAAGGGCACAAAACAGGACCTCATAAGGGCACAAAACAGGACCTCGGCGGGTGAGAGGCGTTGTTATTTTTAAAGAGAGACCTTGGCTGGTGAGTTGGTTATTCCGCTCAGAGCCGCCGTGCTCCCGCTCAGCCATGGTGAAGAATCATGTGGGGAGGAACGTGTGGGGAATCACGCTCTCGTTCTTTCCACCACAATCAGGAAGCAGGGGCTTCAGAAAACGGAACATCAGCTGGCAGGGCTTTGGAGGGGACCCTACCTAGTCTCCCTGAAGTCCTGGCCAGCAGGGGCCCAGGGCTCAGCACCATGTGCACTTGGGCCTCCTGGCACAGTTGGAGCTGGCCTCCTCCAGGGGGGCCCAGGACAGCTTGCCCCGGGGCTCTGCTGGTAGTCCTGGGCTCTGGCCACCCTCAGTCAGGTCTCTAAGAAAATCAGGAATGTGCTGAGCTGGGAGCAGGGATCTGCCAGCCTCCTGGACGACTCTGGAGGGTCCTCGCCTCGGGATGTGCTCCCACCTTGCGGTGCTTGGATGCGCTTAACACCCATCCGGTGGCCAGCAAAGCAAGGATACAGGTTCCTCATTTGCTGTGGAGGGAGGTGGAGGAAGAGGCTTCCTCTGCACTATCTCTCCTGATCTGCACGCCTGGAGTCCCCTCCAAGTTAGGGTGGCCCTATGATTATCACCCCTTTTGAAAATGAAAAGGGGTATTCTGTTTTCTTTTCTTTCTTTCTTCCTTTTTTTTTTTTTTTATGGGGGATGAACCCAGGGTGCTGTGACATGGAACTATGTCCTCAGCCTTTTTTATTTTGAAACAGGATCTTGCTAAATTGCCCAGGCTGGCCTTGAACTCCCAAGTTGCTGGGATCACGCCCTGCTGAAAGCAGTGGCCTTCATATTTGGTTCCTGGACAGTAGACGGGAGCTGGAACTAGGGGCAGGCAGTATGTGGTCACCCTGCTCCTGTGCCTGTTACCAGGGAAGAGTCTGCCTGCCTAGGATTTTGTCCTCGTGTCACCCTCTCTGGAAGTCATGTGTCTCTGAGCCTCATTTTCCTCTTCTGTAAAATGGAAACTAAAGTATCTGTGTCCAGCTTATTTTTTAGGGTGATCATTGTCAGGGTCAGGGAAGGTAATATACAAAGAGCTTTTGTGAACTCTGAAGAGCTTGCAGACGTGCAGGTTGTTGGTATGGATGGGAACAGGTGGCGTCTGCATTGGGCAGGGCTTGGCTTGCTTTGCCGATTGGGTGTGGCTCCCTCCTTTGCCATGAAGGGAGGGGACAGGGAAAGGAAGGGCTGGTTCTGACCCAAACTCCTAAATGAGCTGCTTTCTGCCTCCAGACCAGATCCCTCCCGCACGCCTTCCTGGCGCAGCCTGCAGTAGGTAACAGTTCTTTAGCCAGTAGAAGCCAGCGGGCCCTGGCTCTGGGGTCTGCCCTGCCAAGTGTCAGCTCTTGTCCTCGACTCAACTAATGCCAAGGGCGAGAGGAGCCAGCAGAGAAAGCCTGGCCAAAGGGGGCCCTGGACTGCGTCAGCATGGGGCAGGCCTGGACAGGACCTCGGGCCCTTCCCTTCTGCTCCAGGAAACAGGCTTTGCCTGACTCTTTGCCCTGTTCCCCCACTCCCACCATTCCCAGGAACAGGAAGAGGCAGGACAGGGTCCTGGTGAGCAGGAAGTGAGGGCCGGCCTCCAGTCAGGTGCCCAAGGCCTGCAGAGAATTCGGGGCCCAGGACTCCCTGGGACAGGGCTTGTGCCTCTCTCTGGCTGTCCCTCTGTCCTGCTTTCCCTGCTTTCTGAGTTTCCCCTGGGGAGTGGGGGTGGGCTGTTCGACCTGTCACTCTCTGTCCCACTTTCTCCCCACCCTGAGGCCAGCCCAGCTCTCACAGAGCGCTCAAAGTCTGGGTCTCGACACCTCCCCTTGGTCGAGCTTCTCCCCTCGGGGTCTCCAGAGTGGGTGAGTGTCTCATGAGGGGCCAGAAAACCCGAGTGCTCCTGGGTCTGCTGCTTCTGCATCTCCTGCTTTTGCCGTTCTTGTTTTGGGTGTGTTTTACACTGCACTTTCCATATTGAAAAGTGATATTTTTGTGTCATTGATAAATTACACATAGTTTGAGAGGATTGTGTTAAAAAAAAAAAAGTCTGTGTGAAGCTGGAGATCATGGCTGAGCACTTGCCTAGAGTGTGGAGGCCCCAGTACAACTAAATAAAGGAGTGAAATAAAACCACGTGAACAGCAGCAGTCTCCTGTTGAAGCCTTTTGGCAGGAAGGGATCAACAGACTCCTGTGAGGTGCTAATCAGATGAAGAGTAGCCTGTGACATAGAATACCTAGCACAGTGCCTGGCACGTAGTAAGAGCTCAATAAATAGAGTTGGCTGCTATTGTTGACCAGGATGGAAGCAGGGAAGGCCCAGTCCCTGCCCCAGGCACATACAAATAACCGTTCACATTTTTCTGATGCTGTCACTTCCACGGCCCTGTTCTTACATCTCCAGCTTCTAAGATAGACACCAGTGACCCATTTTACAGGTGTGTCCAAATGCATGGAGATGTGCTCTGCCTGCCTGGAGTCCTCAGGGAGCCTACCAGCCCAGGATCTTTGTTGAGATGGGGTCTCACTATGTTGCCCAGGCTGGCCTTGAACTCCTGGGCTCAGATGATCCTGCTGCCTTAGTCTCCCAAACAACTGGGACCACTGGCTCGTGCCTGCGCTCCGCTCTCCTCTCAGGGTCTGTGGCAGCAGGATCCTTGGTTAGCTCCCTGCTGCAGGAGCGCTCACCTGGTGCCTCTGCCCCTTGCAGATAAAGTACCATGAGGAGTTTGAGAAGAGCCGCATGGGCCCCAGTGGGGGTGAGGGCCTGGAGCCAGAGCGCAGGGACGCCCAGGACAGCAGCAGCTACCGGCGGCCTCAGGAGCAGCAGCAGCCACCTCACCACGTCCCGACCAGCGCCCCTGGTGGGTGTGGGCCTGTGCAGCCAGGCCCAAGAGCCAGGAGGGGGCTGAAGGAGAGCCGTTTGCGCACACACAGACACAAACCCCAGGTCCCACCCACGGCGCTGGGGTCAGGCCTGAGCTGGGCCGGGGATCAGGAGGGCAGCCCCCAGCTTGAGAGGACACACAGACCCTGCTGGGGAATCCCTCCACAGGCAGAGCAGCTGAGGGGTGGGGGCGAGCGGGGTTGGGGATGGGGCCGTGACATTGGCCCCACGAGGGGACCTGGGAAGGGCTGGGTCTCGCAGATCACTTTCTGAGAGTCCTCTCTCCCACTTTCCAGTCTACCAGCAGCCCCAGCAGCAGCAGGCCACCCCAGCCTACGGTGGCTACAAGGAGCCTGCAGCCCCAGTCTCCATACAGCGCAGCGCCCCAGGCGGGGGCGGGGTGAGTAGCCCTGACTAGGTGGACAGACCCCCCCAGAGGGACTGGCGCCCCTGGGAAGGCTTCCTGGACATAGGCCATGGCTTCTCCTGACCTCTGACCCTGTGTAGGAAGCAGGGGTCTCAGCCTTACTGAGAGGAAGTGCGGTGGACGGGGCCAGGTCTGACTGATTGGGGCCCTGGGTCCTGGCCCTAGTGTGTCAGCCAAGTCACTCCTCTTGTCCTGGCCATTTCCCTGCTCTGGCTCCGTGGGTGCACACAAAGCACCTTTCTGCTTGGGGCCTTCCAGACCTGGGCCCTGCTTCTCATGGGTTGATCCCTCCACGTCCTTCTGCTCAGCTAATCCCTGCCTCTAAGGGCTCTAAGGGCTCTATCACACCATCCCATGACAGGTGGATCTCCATGACATTGTATGCCCCACTGGTTTCCTTCAGAGCACTTTTTCCAAATTTAAGAGTTCTCTGTTTAGTAAGTTCTCTGTGTTCCCATGTAGGCAGGGAGTGTCCTTTGGCCCACTTATTCTGAGTCAGGCCCAGAGCACAGCTCATCCTTTTTGCTGAATAAACAAATAAGCACAGGTAGAAAGGTGGGCAGGCCCCGCTAACCAGTCCTTAGAGAGGACGAGGCTCACCTGTAAGTCCTGCTGCATAGCACACCTGTGGTCCACCTCAGAGTGACCCCGTGCTCTGAGTGCCTGGGAATTCAAAGCAGATTATATCAAAGTGAGAAAGACAGATACGCCAAGAAATAAAATAGCCTGAGACAAGTGACTTCCAGGAGCCTCTTGTCCTGGACATACGCAAGGATGTGTTATTGCCATGGGGGTTGGGTTAGAGGTCATCTGAAGGATAAGGTTTCAGATGACCAGCCAGTCCTTCAGATACAGGACATGAGTGATTCCACCACCTTCCCACCCTCTAGGAGCTTATATTCCAGCAAGAAAGCAATCATTAAGTAGGTAAATAATGTCAGGCCAGATCACTGTCTGGCATATGCTATGAAGATAGACAGTTGGGTAAGGGACAGGGAGCAGCAGGGTCAAGATCTGACGTTTGAGGGCTGGGGTTGTGGCTCAGTGGTTGAGCACTTGCCTAGCATGCACGAGGCACTGGGTTTGATCCCCAGCACCACATAAAAAAACTAAATAAACAAAATAAAGGTATTGTGTCCATCTACAACTAAAAATAAAAAAGTGACATTTGAGCAAAGTCCTCAATAAAGTGGAGGGGTGAATGGCACAGGGAGAACAGCAAGTGCAAAGTTCCCAAGGTAGGAACGCCCTATGAAGTTCAAGGACGTTTGGAAGGTGGAGCCTGGTACACATTTCAAGGGCCATCAGGAGGGCTGAGGCGACTAGAGACGGAGGAGGGTAGGTGAGGACAGACCTAGAGGTACTCGTAGGCCACAGGAGGGCCTTGGTGACTGGCAGTCTGTGCAGACTGACGGGGTTTGCTTGTCCTTTTTACTTTTAGTTCTAGGAGTTGAATGAGCCACATCTCCAGTCCTTTATTTTGAGATAGGGTCTTCTAAATTGCCGAGGCTGACTTTGAACTTGTGATCCTCCTGCCTCAGCCTCCCAAGCCACTGGGATTATAGAGGTGCATCACCACCCCCAGCTACCCTTTTTTACTTTTTGAGACAAGGTCTTGCTGGCCACAAACTCCTGGACTCAAGCAGTCCTCCTGCCTCAGCCTCCCAAGGATCTGGGACTATAGGCACCTGCCACCAGGCCTGGCCTGACATAATGCTCTTAAAAGATCATGGTGGTGCCTATATGGGAAGTCAGCAGTCGAGCACTGAGGGTGAAGCAGAGAGGCAAGTTGGGAGGCAGTTGCAGGACACGATCTTAGGTGGCAGCAACTTTGGCCTGAGATAGAGGTAGAGTTAGTGATAAGAGTCCACCTCACTTTGTGAGGGGTGTGGCCTCTAATCCTTCTGGGTTATAGATTTCAAACTTTGTTTTTTGAAGCCCCTGGACAGGGTATAGTGAGAACCAAGGAATTTAGATGGCCATCTACCACCGATAGATGTCACGTCAGGGATCATCTATGAAGGGGTTTACACAGGTTGTGACTGAGGTTTGGAAGGTGGAGCGTGATACACACATGATACACATTTCATGACCACTCAAGATTTTTCCCTCAAGGAAAAGTTTTTGTCCCCAACTTGGGAGTAAAACCAGTCTAGTCATGGCATCAAAAGGAAACCATTGGTGCTTATAATAATCCAAATAGTAGTGAATAGCCATCGTCACATTTTATTTTATTTTTAATTTATGGTCAAAATTTTAAACACAATCTTCACATCTTGCCTTTGAGATCTTCCTGCATCCCTGGTGGGGGAGGCGAGGTGGGTGAATGTATCCCCAGCCTGCCCAGTGCCTGGCCTTTAGTCAGTGCCAAGTACATCCATAAAGGGCAGGAACTCAGGGGCTGGGGTCGTGGCTTAGCATTAGAGCACTGGCCTGGGGCTCGGGTTCGATCCTCAGCACCACGTTAGAAAATTTTTTTTAATATTTATTTTTTAGTTGTAATTGGACACAATACCTTTATTTTACTTATTTATTTTTTTATGTGGTGTTGAGGATCGAACCCAGGGTCTCGCACATGGGAGATGAGCGCTCTGTTGCTGAGCCACAACCCCAGCCCCTAAAAAAAAAAAAAAAAAAAAAAAGGCTGGTGGGAGGGAACTTTCAGAAAGTAGGACACAAGAAAAATGATGGCAGATCACAGCCCAGGTCCTCCATCTGTTGGGTGACTGCTTTCTTGGGTGTGCTCAGGAGTCCTGGAGAGTCACTTGGAGGTACAGCTGTCAGGAACAAGCTCAGGGTGGAGCGCTCCCCGGGCATTTGCGAGGCCCTGGGTTCTAGTCCCAGCAAAAAAGAAAGAAACGGGGGCGAGAGCCCGCTGGCCTGGCCGGGCTGACTGTGCACCCCCACCCCCAGAAGCGGTACCGTGCGGTGTACGACTACAGCGCCGCCGACGAGGACGAGGTCTCCTTCCAGGATGGGGACACCATCGTCAACGTGCAGCAGATCGACGACGGCTGGATGTATGGGACCGTGGAGCGCACCGGCGACACGGGGATGCTGCCGGCCAACTACGTGGAGGCCATCTGAGCCCCGCAGTGCCCTCCCCACCCAGTCTTCAGTGCATTCCATGACATCGCATCCGTCCCGGGACGTGACCCATCCACCCTTCAGTGTCTCTGTTTCTTAAGATCTGCGATGGCTTGTTTATTCCCATCCCTCCTCCAGCTTTTCTTCCTTTCTTGTTTTTTGGCTTCCTTTGATTGACTTTTTTTTTTTTTGCCAACTGAAGCCTTGCTCTGCCACTTTCATGGGCTCCTTCCTCTGGCAGGTTTCCCCTTGTCTGACTTCCTGGTTACTCTCTGGATGGAACAGGCATGGCCACTCTCGGGGAGGGCAAGGCCCACGGGCTGGGCGGGCTGGAACCAGAGACCTCTGTGGCCCCCGGCTTAGCCTCCCCTCTCTCTGACCCCTTGGACGCCCCCTGCCCAGCTCCTCACACACCCAGACATTCCAGTGCCAGGTGAGCCCCACATGCCCAGGACCCCCAGGCAGGACTCTATACATCCCTGGGGTGGGGTGGGGCTCTGCTGTGTATGGGACCAGGATGGGGGCTTTACCCCTCTCTCAATGTGGGGGCTGCTAACTCACCAAGGGACCTCCCTCCCTCCCCTCTGCCTCCCCATGTACTCCCTGCACTGTGACCCCCACACCTGGGGGGGCAGGCAGACCAAGAGCCCCCAGGAAGCACAGCTTAGGTGAAGCTCTTGCCTTTCTTAGCTTTAGGGGCAGCCACAGGAAGGAGGGGAGCAGGGCATTCCCTTTTACCCCACTTCCACCCCCATTCTCCAGGGACTCCTTTGCCTCCCAGGCTGGAAGCTGTGCTGAGCGCGGGGAGACCTCCCCTGGGCTCTGGGTTAGCCATGCTCTTCCCTCCTCATGGGTAGAGGTCTGGGGCCCCCATAGCCTCCCCTGTCCTGCTCTGTGCCAAGTGGGCCTGGAGCTGTGCAAAGCCAGCTCTGTCTCCACAGCTTGGCTTGCTGGGACCCAAGAGAGCGTGTGTGCAGATGACTAACAGGAAAATGTAAGGGTGACAGGAGGAACCAGGTGTATGTCTGCTGGTGTCTGGGCTTGTGTACAAGGTATATGTGTGTGTTTGCGTGTGTGTGTGTTTGCGTGTGTGTGTGTGTGTGTGTGTGTGTGTGAGAGGGGGGGGGCAGAGCCCTCTGCCCCTGATGTTTTCCTTAAACCGACAGTGAGAGGGAGGGCCCTGGTGGAGAGAAGCTCTTTGGGTTCTCTCTGGGGTGGAAGCCCTCCTTCCTCCTATCTGAATGAGGAGACTCCATGCCCCCTTTTCAGGGTGAAGAGCAATGGTGTGGGTGGTTGTGGAGTTGGGGGCTGCTGCTGGGCCTGTTGTCTGCTGGGTTGAGAAAGGGGAAGACTTGGTGTGGGCCTCTTCTCTCCCTGTGCCTGGAGCTGCTGAGTAGGGCACCAGAAGGTTCTTGGTCACTCACTGTGGTGCCTCAGTCTCCCCTCAAGCCTCCCCCTGTGTCTACTGGAAGCAACAGAGGGTCCCAGGGCTCCAAAACTGGAAGCACAGGCTCTGGGAGGAGGAAGGGCAAGACGGTGCTACATCAAAGTTCCTTCTCTGGGTGAGGGCCGGGATACCCCTCCCCTGGCTTTGTTCATCTCTGGGTTTTCTTGTCACCTCCCTGTGTGTCTCCCCCTCCCTACATTGTCACCCTTAGTCTGATCAGGCCTTGCAGCTGACTCCCCCCTCCCCAGGGCTAGGATGGAACCCAGGGTTTCTTAAATGCTAGGCAAGTGCTCTACCACTGAGCCACACCCCCAGCCCCTCAGGTGGCATCTTGCCCCATTGCACGCTTGAGCCCTGCAGGTGAGGGCGAGGACCCCAGGATGGTAGCCTATTAAGCAATCAGGTCTGCATCAGTGTCCTGTCAGTGGCTCACATTTGATTTGGGAACATGTAGTCCAGATCAGAGGTTGACAAGCAGCTGGAAGGAGCCCCTGCCTGACCTGTTCCTTTTCCTTTCTGTCTCATTTTAAGTAAGGGCAGGTGGAGTATCCTCTTGGGCGATTTGGGGACAATCTGGACAGGAAGAATATTGGGGAGCAGCCTTGGGGGTGGTGCTGATCCACTCTGTTTTTTCTTGATTTCAAAGCACAATGTGGATATGGGGACCAGAGGTCAGGAACACATCCTGTTTCGGGGACTGTGGTTGGGAGGGGGTGCCACCTCCCTCAAGAGGAGCCAGCAGCCTATTTCACTTAGCTGGACTTCCAAAACAAGTCAAGCCAGCTCCTATTCCCATCTGAAGTCCTAAAAATAGGGGATGCTTTCTCACACACCCCCAGAGAGAGGAGGCACTCTCACACTGGTGCTGAGGGGACCCAGAGTAGCTAGAGCCTATGTTCCTTCCCAGAACCTTCCACCCTTAGAAGAGCACAGAACCCCAAGGGCTGCGCTGAGCCCCTGATCTTTGACCTTCACAGAGGTCTTGTAGCCAGTCTAACCCAGGAAAGATAATACCTGGGAACATCAGTTTTGTGGACCAATCCTACTGTGCCCAAAAGCCCACAATGGGAAATGTGGATTCTTCCAACAGTGCTTCCTGCCTCCCCCCCCCACCCCATCCCTCCAGGGAAAACTCCTTTATTGCTTCATTTCTGCCTTTTTCCCTTCACACATGCACTTTTGGGCCTTTTTTTAATAGCTGGAAAAAAACAAAACACCACCCCACAAACCCATATTTAAAAAGAAACAAGTGACCCTGTGAAATTCGCCTGTCCAAGCATTTCATCTGTTTGTATGTGTGTGTGTATGCGTGCGTGTGTGTGAAACCACTCACTCATCTTTTTATATGGGGTTGTTGTCTTTTGGGTCTATTTGGTCCCCTCCCTCATGGGCTTGTGCTTGGGATCAAATCTTTCTGGCCTGTTGTGATTCTGAACATTTGACTTGAACCACAAGTGAAACTTTCTCCTGGTGACTCAAATAAAAGTATAATTTTTACCTGCGGATTTGGTTTCGTCTTTGGCTCTGAGGTGCTGGTGTGTGTGTCCTATGTTCTTGGGGCCATTGGCCCCTGTGCCCTCTGGGATTCCTGCTGGCCCGTAGGGAGAGAAGGACTATCTGGAAGCCAAGGGGCAGTTTGCTACCCACCCAGGCTCTGGCATCTGCTTCCTGCTGTGGAGAATTTCCTTCTTCCCAGCCTACTCCTGGCTTTTCCACTCATCCCTCTCTACCTGACGTGGTGACACAGCCTGAGCTCTTGGTTTCCTCCTCATACTGTCCAGCTTCCTTAGTGATGACTGTCTCCCCACCAGCCAGTGCCCCTCCGGGCAGATAATGGGTCAAATTCATCTTTCAATCCCTGGTACCAGTCCAGGGTCCCGCATGGAGCTGCTCAACAAATACTGAACTAACAAATGAGCCCTGGAGCAGTTCTAGGAGGTGGTAAGACCTCAGCATGGTTTGAAGAGTAAAATGACAGAGGTTGTCCCATGGTGGTACAAGACTTGGGATAAAACTAAGGAGGCCTAGCATCTCAAGGCCCTCTTCTCAGAGCCATAGGAAAGTGATTTTTAGCATGTTCTCCTTTGATCTTCCTTAGAGCCTGTAAAGGAAGTAACTACTTGGATGGGATGCTGGGTCTCACACAGCCTCTGGTGGTGAACACTGTGCCCCTGCCCCATGAGCTATAATTAAAGGCAATACTAATACTCATCCCTAAATGAGGTAGCTGCCTAATACGTTCCCAGTAGGAGGAAATGAGTTGGGAAGTCTGGTTTGTTGGCTGGATCCCTCTGCAGAGCTGCAGTGCCCCCTCCCCTGGTTCTTCCCCCAGAAGTTTTACCTTCAGAGTGAATGAAGGAGGCTGTAGGCTTTGGAGGGCATCACTGCTGTTTTCATCCTCACAGAGGCTCTGTGCTCTGCCTCCTGGGAATGGGCCAAACTCCTCCAAGGAGGAGTTTCTAGATCCATCCCCAGATGGGAATAGACCCCCTTTTGGAAGCAGCCTAAGTTCCTGAGGGGGGTTACCAATGTCTTAACCCCCAAACTTTTTGAAAAATTGGAGAGTAGGCCTCAGAGATATCCCAGGGACACTTTAATAGGAAATCAAGTTATAAAAAGGCATAAAGCAACAAAAGTCATAACTGGCTGAGACAGGAAGATTGTGAGTTTAAAGCCAGCCTCAGCAAAAGCAAGGTGCTGAGCAACTCAGTGAGACCCTGTTTCTAAATAAAATACAAAATAGGGCTGGGGATGTGGTTCAGTGGTCAAATACCCCTGAGATCAATCTCCAGTACCAAAATAAACAACAACAACAACAATAATACATTAATCCTTTTTTCTTCAGAAGAAATGACTTGAATTTGCTTTTCTAGACACTTATTACGTAGGGATGAGCCTAAGAATTTTTCAGTGTCCTCTCTGTGGATAACACCATGTTGAGCTTTGAAGAGAAAACAAAGCGGTGACAATGGCACAGGAGTGAAGGGATAGATGGAGAGACCCGTGTTCATCCTATAAATGGAGCCATGTGAATAAAATGCACCACAAATGGGGATGAGCAGTCAGGGTCGAAGGACTGCCCAAACCAGTAGCAACCAGTCTGGGGTGGAGAGTGTGGACTCTGTAGTCTGTGAGCCTGGTGTGAGTCTCACTCCTGCTGCTACTAGATTATTCAACATCAGGGAAGCTCCAGCCATGCATAAAAGACTTGAAGCAGGTTGAAATTACACCTTGCAGTGCAGTATCTGCCACAGTGTAGGACTCAGAAGCTAGCTCCATCCCTAGGGATGCCATCTGAGACTCACATGAGACCACTGTCATGTCCCATCCACATTGTGGTGACCTTCTGAACTTGTCAGTGGACCACCCATTGCTAGCCATTGTTTTTTCTGAGATAATGTGCCAGAAATGTGAGAGGAAAAAAGGAAGCAGGAGAATCCATTCTCAGGTGATCTGGAGAAAGTTCCTATCCCCTCCAGGCTCTCCAGCAGGTAAACTCCATAGAGATAACATGTATCTAAATGCAGTTAGCATTTCTGTACAAAGTGGGTCTGGGTTCCTGGGAAGAAAGTGAGCCTCTTCTGTTCTGCCTGGTCTAATTCTAGCAGTTCCCTGGTCACCCCCGCCACCCCCCCCCCCGGGCTTTGTGATTGGTTGACTGTGGTGTGTGTGTGTGGGGGGGTGTAAACTGCTGATGGAGCCACAGCATCCCTTAGTCTCAGGTTCCCAGGAGGGGGAAGGGACAGGAACAAGGGAAGAGGAGCCATTTCTCTGCACGGATCGCAACCTTGGCGCTCACAGCTCACATTTCACAGAACCTAGAGGCCTTTTTGGCCTAGGACTGCACAATGCTGGATATTTTCATCCTGATGTTCTTTGCCATCATAGGCTTGGTCATTCTGTCCTACATTATCTATCTGCTCTAGTGGCCGGATTTGCTGCCGGGAGCCTGCTGGAGAACAGCTCAGAGGGGAAGAATGGAGCTGAAGGGCCGAGCATCCTGCTTGCTGACGCACCGGTGGATTTTTGCTTCTGGTCATTATTTTGGGTATTGATTCAAAAATGAAATGAAAAGAGAGCTTGTTTTCCTATTTATTTCTCAGATGCACGGATGCAGCATTTCTTGGACTGCTCTGAAAAGAATAAGAAACACAAGCTTCTTTCTTTAGAGCCTAATTTAAAATGTGTTTTTTGAAATTAAAAATAAACCCAGAATGCACAGGATTTTAAAATAGGATGGGCTGGAGTGACGTGAATGGCAGGGAGGAACTATCCTTTCCTAATTTCCTCTTCAAGTTAGATGCGCAGCCAAGTTGTACGTTTTATCCAGGCAATTAAAGGTAAAACGATTCTATGTGCCAGCAGAGTAGTTTACAACCATACTGGCATAATTGTATTAATTAATTCATTGATGACTCGTTCTTACTTGATGATAAGGTAACAAATGGATTTACTTGGGGTGGGGTTTGTGGAGGGGGGTTGTCCATTTTTCCCAGCTGTGGAATCTGGCAGGGAGGAGGGAGGAACTCCAAATCCTTTTCCTGGTCTGACCAGTGGTTGAGACCTTTGCTGCTGTTCCCATCTGAGCCTTTTTGTTTCTGATTTCCCACAGCTCCTGTCTCCAGTCCAACAAGAGGCCTCTTATCAACAACAGCAGCCCTGCTGCCCAGCAGACTTCTTCCAGAGCCTTCCGGACATGGTTAACCCCTGGCAAAAAAGGGGCTTTGTGAGGCAAAGGCAGAGGCAGAGGCACTCACTGGGACATCAGGAATTCATGGGCATGGCTGGCAGATGCTGTATGCGTTTGAGCTGTAGAGAGAGCGTGGTGAGAATACAGAAAGTTGAAATGTAGACTCATTAAAGTGGAAAACTGCTCAAAAATCCATCTGGGTAGCCTTTCCTTAGGTCTAAATGCTACTGTACATGAAGCTGAAATACCTTCTTTCCTTTCACCACAAACAGGCGTTCCCTTTTAAGTTCAAGAGCAAGTTCAAGTTGCCTGTCTTATCAGTGTTTTTACAGATTTCACAATCTGGGGTTGTGTGGTTTCCCTTGTCTCACTCTCTGGCCAGAAGAAATTTGTCATTTGAGTTTTTAAGATTTATTATTTCTTCCCTATCTCATGCCATCTGAGCCCCTAGTTTTTTAATTAAAAATTGAAATGGATAGAAAGTTTTTATTCTTTATTCCTGATTATAAATTATTGAAACAAAATGGCTGTACTTACCTTATTTAGGAAAGTCTCTTACCCAAAAGTGAGTGGTTTTGTTTTTGATTGTTGAATGTTCCTTTTTTGGGGGAAAAAAAAAAAGGAAACTGTCAACATATTTCCCTGTTCAATTAGGATTGAGTAAGCTCATTTACTCATTTTGGCATTAAGATAGAATTGGTTCCCCAATCTGTAGTGTCTATTCTTTGAAAAGTCCAACATAATTGTTCTACATTTGATTTTCCTTTCTATCTTAAAAATAAAGGAGAAATATTAATAGTTTTTGTAATAATATTGTGTTCAATTGCTATGTTTTTAAAAGAAATAAAATTGAAACACTGTATGTTACAATTAAAATGGAAAACTTGCATTTTAAATCCTGGACAAAGTTGCGTGTGACTCCAATAATCTCAGCTGTTCTGGAGGCTGAGGCAAGAGAATTGCTTGAGCCCAAGAGTTCAGGGCCAGCCTGAGCAACAAAGGAAGACTCCCACCTCTTAAAAAATAATAATGCCAAGTATGGTGACACACACCTATAATCTCAGGGCCTTGGGAGGCTAAGGCATGAGGATTGTAAATTCAAGGCCAGCCTCAGCAATTTAGCAAGACTCCGTCTCAAAATAAAAAGGGGCTGGGGAAGTAGTATGTGGTAGAGTATCTCTGGGTTCAATCCTCAGTACTATAAATTTTTTTAAATAAATAATAAATAATCAATAAATATTTATTATTTAAATAAATAATAAATAAACAAAATAAAGTTCTGAACAAGAAGAAAACACTGTTATCTTGTCAACAAATTATCTGACCTTCAATATTTCATTTAAACTCTAGGGCTTTAGTTTATTCTGTCAGATGAAAGAGTTAGACTAGAAAATTGATAATATGCCTTCCTATTTTAAAATTGTAGAATTCTTCTAAGAGGTATTGTTATTGGAAACTACCTTAGTGAGAACAGAATTTTCATAGAAAAACAGTAATTTATCAGCAATCCCTTTCTACTCACTCTCTCTAATATGACATTTTTTTAGTACTGGGTATTGAACCCAGGGGTGCTTTACCATTGAGCTACATCCCAAAGGTCTTTTTTATTTTGAGACAGGATCTTGCTAAGTTGCTTAAAGTCTTGCTAAATTGCCCAGGCTGACCTTGAACTTGCAATCCTCCTGCAAGTTCAATCCCAAATTGCTGGGATTACAGACATATGCCATTGCATCTTGCCCAATATGACATTTTATAATGGCAATTCAATTGGAAAAGTAAATTTTTTTTTTTTTGCACCAACAGGCACATTTTTTAGAGGAAATGGCAGTATTTATTTTTATTTTTTATTTTTTGAAAGAGACAGAATTTTAATATTTATTTTTTAGTTATCGGCGGATACAACATCTTTGTTAGTATGTGGTGCTGAGGGTCGAACCCGGGATGCACGCATGACAGGGGAGCGTGCTACCGCTTGAGCCACATCCCCAGCCCGGCAGTATTTATTTACTCCAATTATATATATATTTAATAATTTTCCTAAGCTGTTTTTAAAAAATATTAAAAAGTATAATTCTATATGGCAGTATGTAACAAAAAGATGAGTAATTGATAGATAACGCTAATACAAGAAGCGTGGTTCTAGGGGCTGGGATTGTGGCTCAGCTGTAGAGCGTTCTGCCTAGCACTGGCGGGACCCAGGTTCAATCCTCAGTACCACATAAAAATAAAGGCATTGTGTTGTGTCCATCTACACCTAAAAAAAAATAAATATTTAAAAAAAAAAGAAGCATGGTTCTCTCTGAATATTGATAAATTCAGGGATGACTGTCAGTGGGGTCCTGGACATTTCCCACTAGAATATTCCTCTGACTCCTTGGCATAAACATGTATTTCAAATTGTAATTTTCTACTTCAAGCCCAGATAGCAACTATACATCCTTACCTAGGAAATGCCAGTATTTTGGAGGAATCCAAAGTACACAGTTAATTATGATGGTTAAGTCTTCATAGTATAGTATCTAACGAAGCTTACTCTGAAGTCTTTTATAAGATCAAGGTTCTTCAGTCTGTATCCATATAAAATTCAAACAAATAAATTCAGTGGGGGATAAAAAGCTAGTTTTAGTCATACACCAGTTATATATAAATCTGGTATTAGATGCTTACTTAAGGACAGAAAGCTTACCCATCTTTTCTATTACTTGTGAAATAGCATAGTTTTAAGAAATAAATACAAGTTGAGCTGGGTGTGGTGACACACGCCTGTAATCCCAGTGGCTTGGGAGGCTGAGACAGGAGGATTTTGAGTTCAAAGCCGGTCTCAGCAATGGCGAGGCCCTAAGCAACTCAGTGAGACCCTGTCTCTAAATAAAACACAAAAAAGGGCTTGGGGTGCTAGGGTAGTGGCTCAGTGGTAGAGTGTTCACCTAGCACATGTGAGGCCCTGAGTTCAATCCTCAGCACCACATAAAAAATAAATAAATAAAATAAAATAAAAGTATTGTGTCAAACTACAACTAAAAAATAAATATTAAAAAAGGGGGAGTTGGGGATGTGGCTCAGTGGTTAAGCATCCCTGCATTCATTCCCTAGTACAGAAAGAAAGAAATATTGGAAAAAGTTTTATGACTTTATCCCCAGTATTGCAAAAAAAGAAAAAAATAAATTTTATAACTTTGTGCCTATATATTCTTGCTATAACACGCCAGCTTGTAACATAGATGTAGTTTTATTGTGTTGCTTTGATAAATTTCTTTAAAAAATGTTTTTTATGATGGGGGATCTCACTATGTTACCCAATCTGGTCTGGAATTTCTGGCCTGAAGGTATCCTCCTGCTTCAGCCTCCCTATTCGCTGAGTATAATTTTTTTTTTTACCTTTAAACTATTTTCATCCTGGCATCCTAAATATTAAAACATTGAAAAAATACTTTCTGTTATATAAAGTTTTGTATAAATTTTACAAACCTATATTATAGGGTAATCATGTCCAGTAAAATGAGGATTACATTTGGCTCATGTCAAATATAGTAAAAACATCTCTGAATAATGTAAATTACTAAGGAAAAAGTTAGTGTCACATAAGGCTAAGAAACATGTGTTAGTCAGCTTCTCATTGCTGTGACAAAATTATTGAGAAAATCCTAAAAGAGGAAAGATCATTTTGGCTCACAGTTTCAGAAGCTCCAGTCCACGGTCAGCTGGCTCCATTGTTTCTGGGAGAGTAGTAAGGAAGTACATCAAGGTAAAAGGGTATGTAGAAGCAAACCTACTCACCTCATGGTGGCCAGGAAGCAGAGAAGGGAAAGGGCTGGGGGCAAGATACATCCCCAAGGACTCATTCCCTTCAACAAGGCCCCATCTCTGAATATTACTGCACTGGGGACCAAGACTTCAACATGAGTCTTTGGGGGTCATTCCAAATTCAAAGCATAACAAATCATTACACTAATACCCTCTTTTTGTATGAAAATAAGAAGCTTGTATGGAAAAGTGACATATTTCAAGAGAAAGGATTACCAAGAGAAAGTAATTTCTCTTAGTAAAGGATTTTTTTTTTAAGTTAAAGGAAAGATGTCGGGCATGGTGGTGCACGCCTGTAATCCCAGCGACTCAGGAGGCTGAGGCAGGAGGATCTTGAGTTCAAAGCCAGCAAAAGCAAGGCACTAAGTAACTCAGTGAGACCCTTTCTCTAAATAAAATACAAAATAGGGCTGGGGATGTGGCTCAGTGGTCTACTGCCCTTGAGTTCAATCCCTGGTACCAGAAAAAAAAAAAAAAAGTTAAAGGAAAGATAAATGTTACAAGGTTAGAACCACCTACAACTCATTATTTTGAGTGTATGAAATCAAACCCAAACTTTCTGAGCTTAAAATTGGCATAATTTACTAAGTTTCAGAAAATTGTCTTGCTTTTTAAAAATTTAGCATTATTCAGACTTCAAAAACCCTTAAAATATCATTTTAATTTTAAATTACTAAAAAGTAGTAGGGTTTTCCCTTAGTAAAGTACTTAAGCATAGTTGATGTGGAAAATTATCTGTTGTAGATTATGTTTTGGCTTTATCATACTCCAAATATTTTGGGGCTAGGGTTGTATCTCACTGGTGGAGTGCTTGCCTAGCATGTACAAGGCACTGGGTTTGATTCTCAGTAATGCATATAAATAAATAAAAGGTTCATTAACTACTAAAAATTTTTTAAAAAAATATACACTGGATTAAAGATGATATTCTAAATTTAAAAACACTCTATTTGCTAAGCCTAGAAGAGCCTCTTCTAAGTCATTTTTATTTTCATCTACTTTAAACAAAAAAATAAGACCAAAGTCACATATAAAGAGAAAACAGAAAAAGCCATTGACATATCTTCCAGTATAAAATCAAAATGCTAAGGCAGTTCAGTGTACAGCACTTGCCTACCGTGTACGAGGCACTAGGTTTGATTCTCAACACTGTATATAAAAAAATAAAATAAAGTACATTGACAACTAAAAAAATATATTTAAAAAGTACTAAAGCAAATAAATGGAGAAATATCTAAGAACTAATTTGTTCTTAGAAAACACTATATAAGATCTTATAGTGTTTATAGGGGAATTGCAGGTAATCCACAATACTTAGTTACATACTTTGTTTTTTGGAACTATTGTTAAATTATGGTAACTGTAGCATTTTTAGTTTAGCAGCAACTGGAATACTAATTGTTTGGGGATTTGATCACCAAACAGCAGAACAGTGTAGAATATAGTTTTACTTAAGAGATTACTGCTCAATTTATGAGTAGTTGCTAACAAATAAGATTACTTAATTTTTATATGCTATACTCTTAAGCATAAGTATGCACATCAATATATAGTTTCTTTAACATTGCTGTATATTGTTGGGCTGGGGTTGTGGCTCAGCAGTAGAGTGCTCGCCTAGCACATGCTAGGCCCTGTGTTTGATCCTCAACACCACATATAATAAATAAAATAAAGGTATTGGGTCCAACTACAACTAAAAAATAAATAGTTAGTTTTTAAAAACATTGATGTATATTAAGACAATTCATTAGGGTTATGGAGCATAACTCAGTAGTAGAGTGTGTGTATGCCTAGCGGGTGCAATCCTCAGTGTCTTCCCAATACTGTCCAAAAAAAAAAAAAGACAATTCGTTTTTTTATCATAGTAGAACTCTAATTAATAGCTTAAATGAAAGTAAGCTTCCGCACAAGAAACCCAGTGACTTGCATAATGACAAACTGAACAAGTTGGAAATGTTTCTAATTTTAACTTAATTTTATTAATACAAATAAATAACAAATTAAATAAAATTTAGCAAGTATTAAATCTTTAGATGTCAGACATTTTGCCACACATACAATGTTTTTGAAATAACAATGCATATTTTCTATTTTATGTACCTTTAAGAAAGCAGTGATCTTTGAATGTCTACCAGTGTTAATTTTTTTTAATTAAATATCCTTTCAGAGCCTAAACAGTTGGCTTTTGTTGTTGTTGTTCTGAAAAGTCCTGTTACTTGACATATTTTCTGGAATTATATTTGTTTTCTTGATGAGAAAAAAAAGTGTTCTTAGTCCTTTGGCACTTTTTTCTCGTACCCTGTGTCCAATACAGCTATCTTTCAGGTCATCTTTCCTATTTAGTGAGGCCACAATAAACCAAGGAGTGTGCATGCATGTCCTTATTTCTTACAGGTTTCCCAGCTACCTGGTAGTGGAATTGCTACAGAAGTCATATAGCTAGTAAGGTGTCAAGTAACCAGAGGCTTTTGTAGCATTTTTACCTCCCAATATTTATCAACATAAAAATCTGTCATCATACAATTGAGTACTATTCATATAAAGAGGTTGACCCTTTAGTAAAAATCACACAAAGAGGTTAATGTTTGTTTTTTATTGATATAAGATGGTTCTTCCAGTTGCACATTTTGCTTGGCACCTCATACTTGCTTTAATCTCTGAAAGTGAACAATTATCCTGGCAATAAAATCTTTGTTATTAACCAAAGAACTGTAAGCATGTTGAATCAACATAGGATGAGAAATGTGAGACAGGTGCCTATTGTTTGTGCTTGGAGAACAGTCTGATAAGCAATACTGGGCTTCTTGAACACTTGAACCTCTTCCCAAGTGTGGTCACTTAATGCCCACATTGCGAATAGGATGAAGTTGAGGGGCAGAAGGAATCATCCAAACGTGTTAAAGATAGATGTCCTATAGTTTCACACGGCATAAAGTATTTATCATAAGATATAAACTTCCAATTGGTTTCCAAGAAAAGTAACACCATTAGTTTGTTATTAGTACTGTTATGGTGGTAATGATTTGTGTCTGAGAAACAATAATAAAGATAAATATAATGAGCTTGAGCTTGCTTCTAGGAAAAATCATCCTATGAATCAAAGTCAAAGGAAACTGAGGAAATCACTATAAAAAGAAAAAAAAAAGTGCTGTGGACTGGGTCTTCTAATTTAAGCCAATCTTCTGATTTAGAAAAAGACATGGGTTAAATGATCTGACCAGTTAATAGTTGACATAGTTGTGTATTACACTGGTTATAGAGTTAGAAATAGACAGTCTCTTAATGTGTTAGAATTTTTTTTTTTTTTTGCAAATACTCCATTTTGGGGGGGGCAATGTGACTTCTACACCATCACAATATCAGCACTAATGAGAATAATACGTGCTTTTGCAAGTTAACCTCCCACTTTAAAACCTGATATTACCTGTTATTCCTGATGACAAATATATTCAGCAAAAAACTGGACCAGTGAATTGTATAAACTGCAAATTTGGTCACAAATGTTGCATCTATTAATATTTATTTATTTGATACTGGGGCACTTTACCATACTGAGTCACATCCCCAGTCCTTTTAATTTATTTTGAGACAGGGTCTCACTAAGGCTATTCTAAAAGGAGAGAGAAGAGAGTTGCTAAGGCTATTCTTCAGCCTGAGATTCTCCTTCCTCAGCCTCCCAAATCTCTGGGATTACAAACATGGAACACCATGCCTGACTGTCTCTATTAATAATTAAATGAAGAATTTGTTAGCTACATTTTAGTGGTAATAAAATGATACCATTTGTCTGTAGCATCCAAAGAATACATCAAATTTCTTATGTTCCAAAATATTTTTTAGGGGGGAGGAGAGAATAATCTCACAATTATTCAGAGTAATAAAATAATGTGAATTTAAATGAATTTGCAGCAGCGAGTCATGGTGGTTCAAGAGTGTAATGAGATTCCAAATATAGTTCAAAGGTATTTTAAATTAAACCTTGCTTCTTTTGTAAACTTAGATAATTTAAGGAATTCAAGGACACTTCATAATGCAAAACTTCATTCTCTAAAAAAAAAATGAAATTTAGTAACTACTTAGTGAAATCTTAAAAATATCTCCTATATTAACTTTTACTTTTTCTTTATTTTCCTCCCCAATAATCCTAGCTTGGAATCATCAGTGTTTTGATAAACAAATCTATTAGGTTTTTCAAAGTAGGTATGGAAACATGTGGTGGGGAAGAAAAATGTAACTAAGATGTTACTTTGTTCTCTGGTACTTGTCACTACCACTGAGCTACATTCTCAGCCCTTTTTATTTTTTATTTTGAGACAGGGTCTCCCTAAATTGGCCTCCAACTTGCAATCTCCCTGCCTCTGCTTCCTGAATCCCTGGGATTACTGGCATGTGCCACCACACCCAGCTAGTTTTGGATGAATTCTTCAATTTAGAAAAAGAAAACAAAACCAGGATAAAAGCAAGAACTTTGCTTTTGCACAAATCTGTAAATGACAAATCTAGAGAAAAAAAATTCCTGCCACCAATGGGGATTATAATTAGACAATAAAAGGAAAGTGACCCTTCAAAACTGAAGGTAATTGCTTTTGCTACTGAAGTACAATAAAATCTTATTATCACAATTTTCATGTTCTCCACAATGTTCACTCATCAGTCCTATCAAATCTTTCACTGAGCCCCCTTTTTAAAAATAATTTTTAAATTGTCAGTGGACCTTTACTTTATTCATTTATTTGTGGTGCTGAGAATTGAACCCAGTGTCTCACACATGCTAGTCAAGCACTCTACCACTGAGCCACAACCCCAGCCCTCACTGAGCCCTTTTTGCCAAAATTTGAGAATTTTCCACAATTTCAATCCCTCTTCTGCAGATAATTCCCATATCTCCTAGTGTTTCTTCCCCCATCAGCTCCAGAGGTAAGTTAAGTCAAAGTCTTGGGAAAAGAAAGCTAGCCTCTGTGAAATCCAGTTGGAAGGAGGCTGTCAAGAAGTTAGGTGGTCAGGGGCTCAGTGGTATAGCTCAATAGTACTGGTGCTTGCCTAGCATGTACTTGACACGGGGTAAGAGGGGGAGAGCACATAAAGAGGAAATGGGAGATCCAGGAGGGCTCCTGTTTGTGTGTGTTTTTTTGCTAGTGCTAGAGATAAAACCCAGAGCCTTGTACCTGCTAGGTGAGTATTCTACTACTGAGCTACACTCCCAGTCCAAATCCCATTTTTTGAGATATGGAAGAAAGCTTAGAAAGAAGGGCAAATTATTTGTGAAGATTGTTCTAGCAGCAGAATAGCTACTTTCTTTCATTATATAGTTTCTCTTCTTTGTAACATTTCATTCTAATCCCCAGAAAAGTATAAGATGATTTGGTTGTATAATGATAATATATACCTTACTCTATTTATGGACCTTTTGTGTCATTGTTTTAAAGAAGGAAATATATATGTATATGGTATGCCTGTACGTATATAATATATAATGTATATATATATATATATATATATACACAACATACTTCTTTTGTTCTTTATCTGTTACTCCATATAAAATATGAATGAAATATATTATTCTTTGTAATCACATGCCAAGAGGTAATAAGGAATGTGATTTATATTCTGCACATTCTAAAATACCATATTGCAAATCTTCACAAAACATTCTAGGCTGTATCTACACAACCTAAGCAAAGTGAACAGATACTATTGTTTAGTGAATTTGGGTCTGTTCTAACTATAAAACAGAATTTTCTCTTTTTTCAAAGATCCACACAAACAGAATGGACTGACAGTTAACCTTCTATTTTGGTTTGGTGTTGAATTTAACAAAACTTGGAGTCTGAGGCAGAGCTTATTTTCCAGAGAAATCACAGCATATTCTTGGGTTTGCCTGTTGTTTTTATATTAATAATCGTGTGAGCAATTGCTGCTAAAATCCTATGCAGCTTTTGAATTCCTAGGTTCCTTAGATGATAAAAAGCCCCATAGATGCTATTCTTCAGGTGTGGAAAAGTAGTATTCTTCTAAGTGTTAATTCAGCGATGTATTCTCTAAATGCAAGGTTTTCTGAGTATTTAGGGAGAGAGTGTATTCATGGTCAAATATAAGACCTCCTTATGGAAGTTAGCCTGAGCATGTACAAGATGGAACAAATTCAAAAAGCCTCTGTCGTCTTCATCACGATCTCCTATATGTCATACACAGGAACAGACAGTAGGGAAAAGAAAATGTCAGTTAAAAATTTAAAAATATGATTTAGAAATATAAGATGTTCCAATTGTTCCTAATAATATTTAAAGAAAAGACTTTCTGTTATTGACCTTTAGTAAGTCGGACATTAATCACTTAAATAATATAATTATATAAGAACACTGGATTAGAAATCAGAGGAAAAGAATGCTGGTCCATGCTTTATTATTTCTAACTTTATGACCTGTGCAAGTCAGGTTATTTCTCAAAGCCTTATTTTTCTTATCTGTAAAAGAGGATTAATTATCATGTTGGCCACCTAATAAAATATAAAATGATATTATCAAAAACTATACAAACATGAGATATTATGAGGATAATGATAGTTGGTAAATGAGCAAATTAAAATTTTTGTTGTGTAGCATAATTGAAATTTGGTTCCTTTCAGAGCAGACTCTTCAACTTCATGTTCTCTATTGAAACCATTAGCAGATTTTTGAAGTGACAAAAGCTAGGAACTAGGGTTGGGGTTGTGGCTCAGCGGTAGAGCGCCTGCCTAGCTTGCATGAGGCACTGGGCTGAATCCTCAGTACCACATAAAAATAAACAAAATAAAGGCATCCTGTCCATCTACAACTACAAAAAAAATTTTAAAAAAAGCTAGGAACTAAAAATATCTCACAAATGAACAATAAAATGTCTGGTCCTTATATTGTTAGTTTAGAAATAATGGTCTACACAGAAATAGTTCTGTCTTAAGTAGAGACTTTTACTCACTCCTACTTACCAGACATGATTGACTGCAGCATTTCCATTGTAACACAGGCAAATGCATTTGCCACACTCTGCAGGAAGTTATTTCTTTCCACCAGAGTGCTAAAGACTTTGCAGACTTTTTGCATCATTTTAACTGCCCAATCCATGCAGTATAGTTCTTTCTCACACACCTGATTTAGACATAAAAATATTATTGTAAATCTTCATGTGAAGAAAGAATTTGAAAATGGTACTGACAATGATAGTATGATTTAACATAATGTATTACATGATACCCCATTGATTTTATAAAAAGGAAATGCTTGTATCGTTAATACTCTTTGCTTTCAAATGGTGCAATTTTAGTGGAAATAAAATATGAAATAAATAAAAGCCTGGTTCAAGATTATCAGAATACTATTCACTAATACAAGAATTAATGTTGAAAATAGTTTTTATATAATAAAATATAAGACTTCTGCTCATTCAATCATTCTGTAAGCATTTATAGAATACCACTAAGAACTAGAGGGGCTGGGATTGTGGCTCAGTGGTAGAGGACTCCCCTAGCATGGGCGGGACCCAGGTTTAATCCTCAGGACCACATAAAAATTAAAAAAGGCATTGTGTTATGTCCATCTACACCTAAAAAAAAGAAAAGAAAAAAGAAAAAGAAAAAAGAAAGAAAGAAAAGAAAAAGAAAAAAAAGAACTGGAGATACAAAGATAAGCTATAAAAACATGGTTTGAAGCTGGGGATACAGCTCAGTGATAGATCCTTGCCTGGCATGTATGAGGTGCTGGAGTTGATTGTTGGCACCATGGGTTTTTTTTAAAAAAAGGCATGGCTTTATTTGCAGGGAATATAATGAAGACAATAGAGAATTTCAGTAGGCAAATCACTGTGGTATCAATTTTCCATCTTGAGAGTCCTAAAGAACACTTATTTGTTTGTTTGTTTGGTACTGGGACTGAACTCAGAAGTGCATTATTACTGAATTACATCCCCAACTCTTTATTTATTTTTATTTTTTAGTTGTAGATGACAAAATACCTTTATTTTATTTATTTATTTTTTCATGTGGTGTTGAGGATGGAAGCCAGTGCCTCACACGTGCTAGGTAAACACTGCTGAGCCACAACCCCATCCACCCCCCCCCAAAAAAAAACCTTTTTTATTTTTTTAAGAGAGAGTGAGAGAGGAGAGAGAGAGAGAATTTTTTTTTAAAGAGAGAGTGAGAGAGGAGAGAGAGAGAGAGAGAATTTTTAATATTTATTTCTTAGTTCTCGGCGGACACAACATCTTTGTTGGTATGTGGTGCTGAGGATCGAACCTCGATAGAACCCGGGCTGCACGCATGTTAGACAAGCGCGCTACCGCTTGAGCCACATCCCCAGCCCCTTTTTTATTTTTTAATTGAGACGAGTTCTTGCTAAATTGCTTTAGGGCTTTGCTAAATTGCCTAGGCTGGCCTCACACTTGAGGTTCTCCTGCCTCAAATTGCTGGGATTATAGGCATGGGCCACTGTGCCTGGCTATTTCTACATGATTTAAAAGATACATATTTAAAGACTACATGTTCCTAGGTAAAACTGAAAAGTAAGAATTAATTTATTTATTGATCTGTTGTATGTAGATTGAACCCAGGATCTTAGTGAATGCTAGGCAAGCAATCTACTACTAAACTACATCCCCAGAACTTTTCATTTTATTTTGAGACAGGGTCACCAAGGATGGCCTCAAACTTTTGATCCTGCTGTCTCAGCCTCCCCAGTAGCTGGGATTGCAGGCATGTGCCACTAAGTCTGGCTTTATTTTATCTTTTTTTTTTTTTTTCCATTTTTGTAGTGCCAGGAATCAAACCCAGGAACTCTTTAAGTATGCTAGCAAGTGCTCCACCATTAAACTACATCCTCAGCCGCTCTGGTAAATCAATTTATAATGTTAAACAACTTGCTAGAGAAAAACTTATTTTTTACTTACCAAAGCCAAAAAGACAATGAGCCTTGCCAGTTCAATGGCCCGTCCATTCACAGCTTTACTAGCCATGAAAGTGAAACAGATGTTGTTTCCACTTAGGATTAGGAGACGTGCATTATTCTCTAGAAGCCACTCCCGAGGAACCACTTTTATTAGAGGAAGAATGGTTATTTAATGAGAAATTACACAATAGCTATATTAAACATCTTTAAATACATGCAATATTACATTGCCTTATTGGAAATACAATTAGTACCAAGGGAAACACATAGGAAAAAATGTTTAAGTTTTTCAATTATAGCATTCAACCAGAGCAGAGATTATTGCCAAGCCATGGTAGCTTGTACAAATGTAGAAGTAATGTAGTCAAAGTAATTATCCTACATATATGAGAGGCAAAGTGAACTAATCTTATATAAGGAAGAATCCTAGTAAACTTTAACATCTAAAACATTATGCAGGAATGAGAAAAATTATTTTCACCTCTCCTATACCAGTAGGAGAGGGTTTTCTTCTTACATAACCTAGAAAGATGTTCCTAAGAACTCACAAAATGGGAATAAGAGAGATAATTAAAATATAAATCCTTCAAATAATAATATATTTATAAAATTGGCAATTGAAGGAAAATTTATTAAATGTATTCTTTTCAAACATTATGCAAAACTCTTCAAATATTTTAGAGCAATCAGTGGTTTCTAATAAGGATTGAATTTGTTACCTGTAGAATTTTCCTTACAATTTTTTTTTCCAGTACTGGGGATTGAACCCAGGGATACTCTACCACTAAGCCACACCCCCAGCTCTTTTTATTTTATTATTTTTAGTTGTCAATGGACCTTTATTTAATTTATTTATATGTACAGTGAGAATAAAACCCAGTGCCTCACACATGCTAGGCAAGCACTCTACCATTGAGCTACAGTCCCAGGCCCCGTTTTTATTTTATTTTGAGATAGGGTCTGATTAAGTTTCTGAAGCTCACCACAGACCTACGATTCTCTTACCTCAGCCTCCTTGGTTGTATTTATTTTTTAGTTTTCAGCGGACACAACATCTTTGTTTGTATGTGGTGCTGAGGATCGAACCTGGGCCGCAGGCGGCATGCCAGGTGAGCGCGCTACTGCTTGAGCCATATCCCCAGCCCTTATAATAATATTCTAACACTACATTTCTATTACTGTACTTAATACAGTCATAATATTACTGTATATTAGTAAATGAATATTTGTACCTGACAGTTCATCTACAAGACTGATAACATCATCTGCTGTCCACTCTTTGGTGCCTGTATCATACAGTAATTTAATGGCATCAGCCAAACCTTTCAGACTGGATTCATCTGTAGGTCCTTCTATCATTTTCTGCCAAACCACCTGTCCTGAATTGAAACAGAAACTAGGCTATGATAGAATAATTGGTTTTGTGATACAGATTTCATGGATTGTTTAAAAAGGAAAGTGGATTGCCTAATGAGATCCCATCATTTATATAAGATACTTTCATAATAAAAGGCCAATTCTGATAATAATATAAATTTGAATGTTTCTTACTAATGTGATGAAACACAGCAACAAGATAGTCAGATAAAGTAAAGGTAGTTTCATCAGCAGAATAGTGCTTTTAGTTCAAAGATGATGTTACCTCATTACAGAAATTGGAATAAGCAATTTACTGAAATAAAACAAAACCCACTGATATTCTTCCTCAAAAGAACATGGTATATTTGAGAATCTTTTAAACATATATAACAAAACAGTAATTAAATTTTTTATTATATTTATGACCAGTTTTCTTTGTGGAGTACACATAACAAAATTTTAATCTCAGATTAACTCCCTGCTGCTTCTCAACATATTTTAGTTTCCTCCTGATATAAGTCAATGTGGACTAAATAAATGCATGATAATTTTAATATTACTCCAAGAAAAATTTAGGCAAAAATCTTGCAAGTCATATTATGTACCTGAAATTAAATAAGCATCAATTCTGCCACTACTTTGCTTCTTAGTAGTATTATTAGACACTCCAGCAGCAAACATAACCTTGAGTTAAGATAATGTTTAAAACTGGAAAACAGCTATTTCACATAAACCCAGGGACGATAAAAATACATTTGTTAATGTTCTTCAGCAGAACAATTTCTGTCTTGATGCTTAAGCTAAGCACAAATTAATGTAGTATATTCATCTATGAAATCATAAAATAGTTTAATCATTAGGAGTGGTGGAATTGAACAGGTAAAAAAAATTGGCTTCACAAAGCAAAAGCAATTAATCAGTTATATAACATACATTCTGAAAAATCAGTGCTCACCATCCTGAGAAGATGTTGGCCCAAAGATGATATACAGTAATCTTGCCTGATTCACCATTGGCCATGGTTTTAATATTCGTGTCAACCAAAAAGCAGAATCACTTCGATGTGTCCAATGATCAAGGAGGACATTTCTACAGAATAGTCTGATCCTTAATTCTAATTTTCGGGCACTTCCTATAAAGCAAAAGAATTATAAACCATTTTTCTAGAAAGGTGGATTGCATATTGGGTCGTGATCACTGCAACACATTAACCATTGTGGGTCATAGTGACCAGTGATCATAAACTGGGTTTCTTTTTTTTTGATACTGGGGATTGAACTCAGAGACACTCGACCACTATTTTGAATTTAAGAGACAGGGTCCCACTGAGTTGCTTCGTGCCTCACTTTTGCTGAGGTTTTTTTTTGAACTCACAATCCTCCTGCCTCAGTGTTCTAAACTGCTGGGATTACAAACATGCGCCACATAAACTGGGTTTCTAAACAAGAATTACCAATAGATTATCTGGTTGTTTTTTTTTCAGTTGCAGATGGACAAAAATATCTTTATTTTATTTGTTTACTTTTATGTTATATGGTGCTGAGGATCAAACCTAGTACATTACACATGCTAGGAAAGCGCTCTGCCATTGAGCTACAACCCCAGCTTGTTATCTGTTAAGATGCCCTAACTTTGTAGTTTGACTTTCTTCTTACCCTTATCTTCTTGATTTATTTTCTCTTTATTTCGTTCTTTTTTTTTTTGGTCCTGGGGATACCCAGGGGCACTTTACCCTGAGCTATATCCCCAGTGCTTTTATTTTTTGAGACAGGGTCTTAATAAATTGCTGAGGCTGGCCTTGAACTTAAAATCTTCCTGCCTTGGCTCCCAAGTAGTTGGAATAGAGGAGAGTGTGTGCCACTCTCCTCGCCTCATTGCTTCTTTTCCTCTTGTTTATTGAAATATAATTCATATACCATACATTCTGTTATTTAAAGTGTACAGTTTTGGGGCTAGAGATTTGGCTCAGTGGTATAGTGTTTGCCTAATACGTATGAGGTGTTAGGTTCAATCTCCACTGGTACCAAATAAATAAACTGTACAATTGGGGCTGGGGGTATAGTTCAATGGTGGAGCATGTGCTTAGCATGCATGAAGCTCTGGTTCAATCTTGAGCACCCAAAACTAAAATGAAGTGTACAAATTAATGGCTTTTAAAATGGTGTTATTAATTTTAAAAAAACTGTGGTATTTATAAAATTTGCCATTTTATTTATTTATTTATGGTATCAGGGATACTTTACCACTGAGATACATCACCAATTTTTTTTTTTTGAGACAGTCTTGTTGAATTGTTTATGGCTTCATTAAGTTTTTGAGGCTAGTCTTGAACTTGTGATCATTTTGTTCCATCGTCTCTAGTTGCTGGCATTACAGATGTGTGCCACTGTTCCTGGCTTTTTAAACCTTTTTAATTGTTTTTTAATTATTTATTTATTTTTAGGTATAGATGGACACAACACAATGCCTTTATTTTTATGTGGTGCTGAGGATCGAACTCGGGTCCCGCCAGTGCTAGGTGAGTGCTCTACCCCACAATACCAGCACCTTAAATCATTTTTAAGTGTACAATCCAGGGGCATTAATTCCATTAACAATTTTGTTCAACCATAAACATTGTCTACGTCCAAAACTTTTTCATCATTCCAAATACAAACTCTGCAGCCGTTAAGCAATAACTTCCAGTTCCTCCATTTCCCCAGTTCCTGGTAATCGCTAATCTACTTTTTGTCTCTGTGTATTTGCCTGTTCTAAGTATCTCATGTAAGTAGATTCATATAATATTTATCTCTTTGTTCCTGACCTCTTTTACTTAGTATAATGTTTTCAGTTTATCTATTTTGGATGAAAGCTGAGAATGAAGCTTTGTGAGAAAAAAAAAAGTTCATCTATGTTGTAGCATACTCACATTTTGTTTATTTGTCTATTGATAGACACTTGGGTTTTGGGGTTGTTTTTACCTTTTGGCTATTATGAAAAATTATGAAATGAACATTAGCATACAAGTATTTGTCTAAGTGCCTGCTCTCAGTTTCATTACATATATATCTAGGAGTGGAATTGCTGGGTCATATAGTAATTTTATGTTTAGTTTTTTGAGGGGCAGCCAAAGTGTTTTCAGAAGTTATACCATTTTACATTTTACATCATTTATATTTTACTTACTTGGAGATAAGACAAGTGTAAATAGAAAGTCTAGGGTTGGAGATGTAGCTCATTGACAGAATATTTGCCTAGCATTCAGGAGGCTCTAGACTAGATCTGAAACACAGCAAAAAGTCTAATAATCTAAGACAATACATAAGTACCTCCTGATGTGTTAAGTCAAATGTAAGTTACAAGTTTAGAGGAGAGAGATTACTATAGGCCTTCAGAGATCACAAAATGCTGGGCGGGAGGCTGTCAGGTGAACTGAATCTTAGAAGGAGTCAGGTGAACAGACTCTATTTTATTTATTGGGAATCCTGGAGATTGAATTCAGGGGTTCTCTACCATTGACTTACATCCCTAGTCTTTTTTATTTTTTTTTTTACATTGAGACAGGGTCATGCTAAGTGCTCATATGGACTTTAATTTGCAATCTTCCTGCCTTAGCCTCCCGAGTTGGGATTATATGTATGTGCCACTGTGCCCAATTTAAGTACTGATTCTTAAAGGATGAGAAGGAGAGATGGTATTTCAGGAAAATGAGACAGAATGAATAAAAGGTAGTGAGATAGAATTGTGTAAAAGGTACCTGAAACACAGTGAGTAGAGAAAGCAATATGCCTAGGTCAAACTGATATAAAGTGCAGTGGACAATAACTTTGAAAAAGTAGGCTGGGAACAAAATGTGAGGACTAGTATAAATAATATGGATTTTATTTTGAAAACATCAAAGAGCTAATGAGGGGTTTTGACCAGAGAAGAACATGATAAATTAATTTTATTATTGATTCATTGGACTTTTTTTTTTTAAATAGAGAGGTGTGAGAGAGGGAGAGAGAGAGAGAATTTTAATATTTATTTTTTAGTTTTTGGCAGACACAACATCTTTGTAGTGGTGCTGAGGATCGAACCCAGGCCGCACGCATGCCAGGCGAGTGCGCTACTGCTTGAGCCACATCCCCAGCCCCGATTCATTGGACTTTTAAAAAATATTATTTAAATTGTAAATGTATCTTTAATTTTATTTATTTATTTATATGCAGTGCTGAGTATTGAACCCAGGGCCTCACACATGCCAGGCAAGTGCTTTATCACTGAGCCACAACTCCAGCCCCAATTCATCACTTTTAAATCTGCCTTTTTTTTTTTTTAAAAAAAGAGAGAGAGAGAGAGAATTTTTTAATATTTATTTTTTTTTAGTTTTTGGCGGACACAACATCTTTGTTTGTATGTGGTACTGAGGATCGAACCCGGGCCGCACGCATGCCAGGTGAGTGCGCTACCACTTGAGCCACATCCCCAGCCCCTTAAATCTGCCTTTTTGATTCATAATTTGTTTTACAGTAAAATATTTCAAGCTGCTAGAAAAGCAGAGGTACTATAACACTGTGTACAAATCACCAAGCTTTGCCAAAATTTTCTTTTTTCTATTTGCTTCAGATATTTTAAAATAAATAAAATATTACAGATGTTAGAGATTCAATGCCCTTCCTCTTTTTCCCTAGAAGTAAGTAATTACCCATCTTGAATTTGTTTTTTGCCCTGTTAGGGTTTTCCAGAGAAACAACCAACAAGAGGGACATCATATACATAAACTATGCAAGTATGTGGGGCAGGAGAGGGAGAAATAGAGGGAGAGAGAAAATATGAAGTTGATTTTCTTTAAAGAATTGATTTATGACTATAGAGGTTGGCAAGTTTGAAATCTGCAGGGTAGATTGGCATGCTAAAGACCCAGGGAAGAGTTGCACTAGGGGTCCAAAGGCAGTCTTGTGGTAGGATTCCTTGCATCGGAAGATCTTTTCCTATAAAGGCTTTCAACTAATTGGATGGTGTCCCCCCACCTTATGGAGGGAAATATGCTTTATTTAAAGTTTACTGATTTAAATGTCCAGCTCATCTAAAAATATGTTCACAGAAAATCCTATAATAATGTTTAACCAAATATGTGAGTACGGGCTTGGGTTATGGGCTCAGTGGTAGAGTACTTGCCTAGCATGTGTGAAGCACTGGGTTCGATCCTCAGAACTACTTAAAATAAACAAAATAAAGGTATTATATCTATCTACAACTAAATTTTAAAAATTTTAAAAAATATGTGGGTACCATGATCTAGCTAAGTTGAAAACCAGAATTAATCATCATACCTCCCAACTATGTTTTTCTACATTTTTATGTATGTGTGTATATAAATGATATAATAGTTAAGATATCATTTGGTAATCTTTTTTCTCAAATTATGTTTTAAAATTATGCATATTAATATATATGGCTCTAATTATTCATTTTAAATAATTAATGGCTTTAATCGTGTGAATACAGCACAATTCATTTTTTTCCATCCTCATGATAGGCTTTTAGGTTGTTCAGAGGATTTCATGGTTACAAATAATGCTGCAATAATCATTCTTTTTTTTTTTTTTTTTGGTACCAGGGATTGAACCCAGACATTTAACCATGAGCCACATCCCCAGACCCCTCTTTTTTTTGGTAGTTGTAGATGGACAGCATGCCTTTATTTTATTTGTTTATTTTTATGTGATGCTGAGGATTGAACCCAGTGTCTCACATATGCTTGGCAAATGCTCTGCCACTGAGCTACAGCCTCATCCCACCCCAGCTTTTTAATATTTTATTTAGAGACAGGGTCTTGCTGAGTTGCTTAGGGACTCACTAAATTGCTGAGGCTGGCCTTAATCTTGCAATCCTCTTGCCTCAGCCTCCCAAACTTCTGGGATTATAGACATGCACCATCACACCAAGCTAGAAAAGTTTCAAGAACACTAGAATGAACTACTTTGTACCTACCACACAATTTAAGGAATAAAATGTTAATTCAGTTGATCACCTCTGAGGACTTCTCTTTCCCCAATCACATACTGCTATTTGCATCAATATTTCATGTGATGTTGATCACTTTCTTAGATTTATTTCTCCTTTTACTGTGTATGAGTGTATGTATATAAATATGTATTCATTAGTACTGGGGACTGAACCCAGGAGTGCCCTACCACTGAGCTACATCCTCAGCCCTTCTTTTTTTAAAATTTTAGACAAGGTCTCACTAAGTTTCCCAGGATAATCTTGAATTTGCAATCCTCCTGCCTCAGCCCCCCAAATTGTTGGGATTATAGGTGTGTACCCCAGGCCTGGATCCAAAAGTTAATTAATTAATTAATTAATTAATATATAATGGTACTAGGCATTGAACCCAGGGGTACTTTACCACTGAGCTGTATCTCCAGCCATTTTTATTGTTTTATTTTGAGATAGGGTCTTACTAAGTTTCTTAGGGCCTCATTAAATTGCTGAGGCGAGCCTTAAACTTGCAGTTCTCCTGCCTTAGTCTTCAGTGTCATTGGAATTACAGATGTGCACCACTGTACCTGGCTCCATAATTTATTTTTAAACACTTCTGAACTCTTCTTTTTTTTTCCACCTTAATTTCTGTATAACATCATCTGTAAATTGTAGTTCTTTACCTGGTTTGCTACAGACAACAGTCTGCATCTTGCGGGAGAGATTAGTCAACTCACATAAGAAGTTATAGACACGATGGCACTCAAGTTCATCCCAACCTGCTGTTAAGGTCTGAAGAAAATAAAATAAAGGAAACATTGCATGTGTTCAGACGACTAAATCAAAACACAAGTCACTGCCCCTTATGAGCATAAGTGATTTTAACACGATTAAGATGATCTATAATTTTTATTCACTATGGAGCTATTCAAATCAGTGAGAAATTTATATAATCTAAACCAAAATTGCTGTAAAATCCAGTTTCTTTTCGGTTGGAAAGGAAGTATCTTTTCAGAGAACTCTTAAATGGAAAATAATGGCTGAAACCCTAGAACACAGCTTTAGACACTTGACTCAGTTATATTGTCTTGGTCTTAAGATTACGGTAGAACCCTTTGGCTTCCCCTAGCGGTCATTTATGAGAATGCTTACAAATGATAGTGATTTAAATATGACAATTTTGAGCATTTTTTATGATTTTTGGATTTGAACAACCAAAAAAAACTTTTATTTGTATCTCTGAGTATACTAAAAGGCATAGACATATATGAAAAGGAGATTCAAGCTGTATAAAACTATAATTAGATTTCAAAAGGTTAACTAATCACATAAATTCTTCTTAAACTAATTGGATTTCAGTAGTTTAAAAATTAATCTTCAGTCCCTAGCATTAATCATTATCATCATCATCATCATCATCATCATCATCTCTGGAAGGAAAGAAACTGGTAACAGTGATTACTTTTGATGAAGGGAAATCAATAAACTTGGGACAGACCTTATGGGGGACAAGCTTTTTACTGTATATATTTTATACCTTTTGACAAGCTTTTTACTGTATATACCTTTTGAATTTATGCTACCTATTCCAAAAAAACCAAAAGACCAAAATTTCTGAATAAAAAAGAACACTCTAACTTGGAAGAAGGCTAGTAGGAGGCCCTGGAATCTGGATGTGTATGAGTTGGTGGCTGGCAGGACAGGATACAGCACCAGATTCTCTTGGGTGCAGTGCCTACTTCTTAAGGTTGTTGTTAGTTTTAAATCAAATAATACATGTAAACTGTTTATAACAGTGTCTGGAACATTGTAAGGGCTTAATTAATACTACTTATTATTTTTATCTTTGCTTATAATAAAAGATTAGTAAAAAATGTTCTTGAAATTTTATAATTTTTTTGGGAGGGGTACCAGGGATTGAACTCAGACACACTTAACCACGGAGCCACATCACCAGCCTTTTAAAAATTTTCAACTGAGACAGGGTCTTGCTAAGTTGCTTAGTGCCTTGCTAAATTGCTGAGGCTGGTTTTGAACTTGTGATCCTCCTGCTTCAGCCTCCCAAGCTGCTGGGATTACATATGTGCACCACCACACCCAGCTCTACAGCTGATTTCTAAAACCACAACTTAAATAACTAGTCCAAGAGTTTAAATTTACTATAAGCATAAACACATGCACATACATACTACCCTATGATATTTCTTTCTTTTTTTTTTTTTTAACAATTGGCTAGACACCTAGAGGACATTGTTATAGAGTAAGTGAATGTTAAACATTTGTCACTACTTAGAAACTTAAGAAGAAAATCTGAGATGGAAACACACTATAAGATTAATACACTCTTGGGCTGGGATTGTGGCTCAGCGGTAGAACACTTGTCTAGCACGTGCAAGGTCCTGGGTTCAATCCTCAGCACCACATAAAAATAAATAAACAAAATTAAGGTATTGTGTCCAACTACTTCTAATAAATATCTATTAAAAAAGATTAATACATTCTCAAATCTTTTCAGTTTTATTTTGCTCTCTTTAAGATTATTGTAAATTCTATTAACCGATGAAAGGACAGATTCCATGCTCTACTTGTTAACAGTTCAAGAAAGCATTCCATTTCTTCTTTCATTAAAAAATGTACCTGTAAAAACATGCCATAACATGGTAATCCTAAACATTGCATAGGAGCTGCACAGCCATTGAATTTTAAACAGGAAACCTGTAAAGAGAACAATTATTAATTCTTTTTTTCATTGGATCTGTACAATGATTTAACATTCAAATATAACAGCAATAAGCAAGTTTTTTTTCAGTACATATTCTGATGAGCACTGTGTTAGTTACAAAGGAAGTATGAAACAGTCTCTTCCCTCAAGGAGCTCACAATTTATTTAGAAGAATAAGATATACACGTGTGAAATTACTATAATTCAGGTTAGACTATGTATAAATGTTTAAATGACTGAATAAATACTACATTGGACAATATGAAAAGAAGGAAAAGATAGTTTAGTAATGATCAAAAAAGCTTATGAAAGACACATGTAAAATAAGCAATGTCTTAAAGCAGGGCTCAGATATAAATAAATGGAAAGTAATGGTAAAAGACAAAATTGTATGGAGGTAGAAGAAACAATGTTTATTTGATAAGAAAGATCTGACCAATTTAATTAGATTCAATTAGAGAAAGAAAGGTTGTATTGGTGGGAGAAGCCTAAATTGAATAGCTACTGAAAGATTTTTTTTTTTTTTTTTTGGTGGAGGTACTGAGGATGAACCCAAGAACACCGTACTACAGTTATATTCCCAGTCCTTTTTATTTTTTGTTCTGAGACAGGGTCTCACTAAATTACTGAGGCTGGCCTAGAACTTGCAATCTCCTATCTCATCCTCCAAGTTACTGAGATTACAGGCATGTACCACCATGCCTGACTCACTGAAAGATTTTCAAACAAAAAAGTTATCTTGATGAATACGATGCTTTAGGGAAAAAAAAAAAAAGAACAAACAATCACAACCTTGAATTGGTACACAGAACAGTTTCGGGAGTGATGAAATATATGGCAGAAAGACCATTTGGGATTCTGCTGCAATAATACAGACCAGAACTCAATGTAAATACTTCATGGAAAATAGTCAGAGCATGAGAATAGTTTGCATCTTATTGAGCACATAACTGAACCATCAGAATGTATGTTTGGATTGTATTGTAAAATTCAAAAGTCCTGTATAGAGATTATGCCCAAATGCATTGATGTACATTTCCAAGTTTATTATCATAAGAGGTTTGTCATATTATATATTAAAAATACTTCCCTGTTTTTTGCATATTTTAAAAATAAGATGCAACATCAGAAATTAATTTATTTAAAAAAACTATCACTTTAAAACTTCCTCAGAAATCCTATGTGAGGTAAAAATGCTTCATACTACACTGTTTTATTCTATATATAAATACCCATGATAATGTTTAATTTATAAATTAGGCATAGTAAAAAAAACCAGCAAAAATAACAAATACAACAATTATAATAATGTACCATAATAAAACTGCCAACATCATTACTCCTGCACTTTGGGGGCCATTACTAAGTGAAAAAATTATTTGAATACAAGCATTGTGATACCATAACAGTACATATGATAATCTAGACAACTCTTAAGTGCTTAATGGGTGATAATATATATAGCATGGCTACACTGGACAAAGGCATGATTTACAACCCAAGTGGGATAGATCATACTGACAAGAGTTTTCATCATTCTCCTCAGAATGGTTCATGATGTAAAAGTTATGAATTGTTTACTTCTGGAATTTGCTATCTAATACTCTCAGACTGCAGGTCTGGGATTATGTGTGCACCACATTAACTGAAATTATGGATAAGGGGATGACTATATTATACTTTATTTATACTCTGGTAGACTATTAGATTGTCACTGATCAAATTTTTAGTACTAATTCATGAGTTGTTATTAACTATAGATTTAAAAGGAGTATAAAACATTAGTAATAAAATATTTTTACTAGAAATTAAGACTATGAACTAATTCAGAAGTATGATCTTACTTCTGAGAGTATCTTGTGAATGTACTTTAATCTTTCCTTGGTGGGTAGCAGCAATGTGCATCTTTTAAATAGTAGACCTGAGAAAGTAAAGAGACACAAGAAAAAAATGACAACAATGCAATTAATTTAAGCATATCAATACTATAGTACAATGTTTTCCTGAAAGTCAAGTACAGCATATCACAGTGAACTAGGAAACAAGTTTTACAGGAACACTGGGGAGGAAGGGCACAAAACATTTATACTGATGTCCATCTAGGAGGCCTTGGCAAAACATCCTGCAAAAAGTTGTAAAATTTGTTGGGCGTAGTGGTGCATGCCTGTAATCTCAGCTATTTTTGAGGCTGAGGTAGGAGTATCACAAGTTTGAGGCCAGCCTCAGCAACTTAGCAAGACCCTGTCTCAAAAGGAAACAAACAAAATGGGCTGGGGATGTGACTCAGTGGTAGAGCACCCCTGGGTTCAATCCCAGTACTGAAAAAAAAAGTTGTGAAATTCACAACAAAGATACAATAATAAGAAATAAATATACATTAGGAAAACTTTGTTTTTATTCCATAGAAAACAGATTCCAATCTCTCTTGAAATTAACTTCCCATTCACAAAGGAAAATATTTTAAGAATTGTTAATATAAACATGAAAAGAATGGGAAAAGAGATTTGGTTCTTTTTTCCAAATACAAAAATTTAAAGTCATAAATACTTAAAATTTCAAAGGTTAGAAGTCATTTTTGCTCACAGAAAGTATCCATTTGTATTAAATATCTATCTCTTCTTTCAAAGATATCCTTTTATGGAGTTTACATGTTAGGAATGTGTAAGATTTTGTGATCAGACATTTAAAAAAAGAAAAGGAAAAAAAAAAACCTTCAATTTCCCTCAGTAAGATGTGACTTGAACTACAGTGACATGAAGTATATGATTTATTTTGCCTAAGTATTCTTTTTTCCTAAAATGGCAAGATACTGTTAACATTCTTGTGAGGTCAAATGTCCTCAAACTGAAAAATAAGATACATGGTAGAAAAATATATACCTAAATTTCATTACTTTCTTCAATTTTTTTTAACTTTCTTCAAATTTTATCTCCTCTGCATTTACTATTTTCCATAATATAATAATTATATAATTCTGAAGAATCTATAGGAATCTAATTTATTTTTGGAAGTTGCTGTGTTTGGGTAACATATGAGCAGAACTGAGTTTTAAATATACATGCCCTTTTTTCCCCAGTGCCAGGGACTGAACACAGAGCCACGCACTTGCAAAGCAATTTATACCCCCAGCTCCTAGCCTCATTTTTGTATACAAAAAAGACATTTTCAGAGTTTTATTTTGGTTGAGATCTTTTCCTTTCCCCTTTTTAGCATTTGGTCTCATGCAATATCATAGCAGAGAAATTGTAAGTTCTAATTGTATGCTGGTTGCCTTTTCTAATGTAAAACTCCTTTTTTTTTTTTTTTTTAAACCGGGGCACTTGATCACTGAGCCACATCCCCAGCCCTATTTTTTGTATTTTGTTTAGAGACATAGTCTCACAGAGTTGCTTAGTGCCTCGCTTTTTGCTGAGGCTAGCTTTGAACTCACAATCCTCCTGACTCAGCCTCCTAGGTGGCTGGGATTACATGTGTGCCCACTATGCCCAGGTAAAACTCCTATTTTTATGGGTTGTAATTTACCATAAAACCCATTATTGGATGATTTTTTGTAAACCACAGGTTCTCTGCTATATTGTTTCAAGACCAACTTCTCTAAGTTTTTCCCATTAAACTAGTCATATGTAATGTTTTTTCCACATTGGCAACCTTGCTCTGCTTTGTGTGGAAAAAAAAAAGCAAATTAAAATTTATAATCTTCAGGTCTGGGGTTGTAGCTCAGTAGTAGAGTGCTTGTCTTGCATGTAAGAGGCACTGGGTTTGATCTTCAGCACCACATAAAAATAAATCAATAAAATAAAGGTATTGTGTCTATCTATAACTGAAAATAAATTAATAAAAAAGAAAGGACTATTTAAAAAGTTTATAATTTTCAAAAGTACAGGATTCTGAAAATGTTATTTTAATGTCTGAAAATAAGAACAGATCAGAAAGGAAGGAAATGTGAGAAAATGGTGTGTACATCAAACATTTACCTAAAGAATCAATCATAAACTAGGTATCTGCATCAAAATTAAATGGAAGCCTGAAACATTATATGAATGAAACCATTAAAAAAACAACTAGGGGCTGGGGAATGTGGCTCAAGTGGTAGTGCGCTCACCTGGCATGCATGGGGTGCTGGGTTCGATCCTCAGCACCACATAAAAATAAAGATGTTGTGTCCACCGAAAACTAAAATATAAATATTAAAAAATTCTCTCTCTCTCTCTCTCTAGAAAAAAAAAAAACCTATTATGATCAATACAAACTGGGTGCAGTAGCCCATCCTATAATTCCAGTGACTGAGGCTGAGGCAGGAGGATCACCAGTTCAAGGCTAGCCTTAGCAATTTTGCAAGGCCCTAAACAACTTAGCACAGTGATAAAATGCTGGATTAAATTCCCAATACCTACCCCCGCAAAACAATACATATTTGTATTTTTAAGAGCAATGATCCATATAATTTTCTTTTTCTTTTTTGCTGTGCTCAGGATGGAAGCCAGGGTCTTATCCATACTATGTAAGCACTTATTACTGAGCTACATCCCTAGGCCCATATAATTCTCATGCAATTGTCTTAATACTTTGCTCATTTGCTTAAACAACTGAGACTTGATCCGAAAAAACAAATTCTGACTGAAACCAAAGGACAAGCTCTAATTTTTTTTTTTTTAAGAGAAAGATTGACATTTATGTTTTAGTTTTCAAGGGACACAACATCTTTGTTTGTATGTGGTGCTGAGGATCGAACCCGGGCCACACACATGCCAGGCAAGCGGGCTACCGCTTGAGCCACATCCCCAGCCCCAGGACAAGCTCTATTATTCAACTAATAATGTTTGAAAAAATATACATATATTTACAATGATAAGAGGCAAAACGTAATTGCCGTTATTCAGTTACAGGATTTACTAAACTGAGTCATAAATACTGAAACCAACAATATTGTATTCATATTGTATACCTTTCATTTGGTCTTATTAAATATACTCATCAAATATACTTTGATGTATTTACATACCTATATAGTCTTCTTTTATTATCTTAAAGTAGGCATCCTTGGACTACTAAAAGGCAACATTTGCTCAACTTATTATTATTATTATGCCTTTATTTAAATCTCAACATCGCCATGCTTTTGTTGATTCTAACGTAGTTTTGTAGTTAAATAGGTATCAGTAGTCAAGTCAGAATTAGGATTTTATTTTAGCACTCTAGGGAGCATGAAATAAATGAATGGGATAAAATATAAAAATGGTTATATGGACTGGGGTGGTAGCTCAGTGGTAGAGCACTTGCCTAGCATGTGTTAGGCACTGGGTTCGATCCTTAGCACCACATAAAAATAAATAGAAATAAAGGTATTAATAAAGGTATTGTGCCCATCTATAACTAAATTTTTTTTTAAATGATTAGATATCAAGAGAAGAAAGACTATATACAACTTCCTTTGACAAGATCAGTTTCATTATAGAATAATGATTTATTAGTAAATGTGCAGAGTGCTTAAAAAGGAAAAAGAAAACATAGTTCTGATTAAGAGAATAAGCGACCTCTCAAAATGATGTGCTTACATTTATATTTTTAAGGAGTATATTATAATAGAAATGGAAAAGAGGTGTAAGGATCCTCAGGAAGTAAAGCATAGAAAACATATCAAGTTCCTAAACTGGTAAACCATCTACACAATAAGCATAGGTGATATTGTATCCACATGAAATCACAAGGACTGACACTTTACATTAAAGTGCATTTTCTTATCTTTAAACATAAATGTAAGGGACTGTTAAAGGAAAGTCCTTATATTGAAGAGTTAAAAACACCATATTACTAGGTACATTTTAGGAAATATTCCATATCCCACTAGTCTTATAGAAGTATATAATAAAATCATCTTATTGTTTAATTCTTTACTTGTTGCAATTTTCATTTCTTAAATTACCTAGAGATCTGTAGTGTTCCAGTATAGCAGAGTCTTGTTTCCTACCAGGCAGCTCAAGGTTATGAAAGTCCTGTAGTAAAAGTCTTTTGCTTCCTGATGCAGTCGAAATATAATTAATAATGTGCTGGCTGACTGTTTTAGACACCATACTTAGCATGCTGACATCCTTCACTACCAAAAGAAATATATATATATATTTATGTATAAATGGCTTAAATACAATAACATCACTCAGTTCAGTCTATTAACTTATAACTTAACTAAATAATAAAAATAATAAACCTACAAGGAAATATCTTAAAATTGTTTTAAATCCAATTCTCAATGATTATAAACTTGTTGAGATATAACAATCAACCTACTACATTATTAAGTTAGAGGTATGCTTTAAAGACTTTGAGCACTGAGCTTTCTCATTCTATCCCTAAGGACCTAACACTGATTAAATTTTGAAAACAAACTTAATATGAATGCTATTAACATTTTAGCAGAGCCTGAGATGATAAACTAATTCTTAGGAAAAATTAAAATATTCTAGTGTTTTAGGTAGTCTACTCATAGTAACCAATCCTCACCTGACAAATATCTTAGGATTATTTGGAATATTTCCAATGGCAAGGCTTTAAAATTTCCAAGCGTTGATAAGGGCTGAGAATCTGAATCAAGGGTGTTGGAAAAATAGCTGGATCGACGATTACTACGTCTATATTTCTGATTGGGAATCAAAGTAAAACTGGTATTTATTCTAGATGCCATCTTTTTCTTATCTCATGAATTTATCCTGGTTAGAAAAACAAAGTACAAGAGACAAAGAAGAAAGGAAGTTAAGACAATGAAGAGGTTTTTTTTTTTGTTTTTTGTTTTTTTTGTTATTGTTGTTTTCCATTGCTGGGGATGGAATCCAGGTCCTGGTGCATGCTAGGCAAGTGCTGGACCATTGAGCCACATCCTCAGATCTGTTGTTTTTTTAAATGAAAGGTTCCACGTTTTGATAGGCAATAGCTATCTTTTTACATTTACACAAATTTTATTATGCTGTCTAATTTATGGAGTTTTTACCATAGAGTCTATTTAGCATAGTTTGAAAAAAAAAGTAAACCGTTTACCTCTTGATCAAATATTCTAGATAAAGAATATTAGTATGAAAAAATGCATGTCTTTAAAAGAAAAGAAAATTGCAAAAGAGAAAAAATGTATAAAAGACTTAATGTCTTTTTCCCCCCCAGTATGGGGAATTTCCAGAAGTATTCTACCTCTGAGCTAGGTCCCATTCTTTTTATTTATTTATAATATTTTTTCTTTATACATGGAAAAAATATCTTTATTTTGTTTATTTATTTTTAAGTGGTGCTGAGGATCTAACCCAGTGCCTCACATGTGCAAGGCATAGCACTTCACCACTGAGCCACAACCATAGCCCTCCTTTTTATTTTTGAGTAGCAACTTGATAAGTTGCTAAGTGAGCCTTGAATTTGAGATCCTCCTGCTATCACCTGAGTAACTGGGATTACAAGTATGAGTTACCTCAATCAGTATGAGTTTTGATATATCTTTTTTTTTTCCTTTTCTTTTTGTGGTGCTAGGGATTGAATCTAGGGCCTTGTGCATGCAAGGCAAGCACTCTATCAACTGAGCTATATCCCCAGTCAATTGATATACATAAGAAAGAATATTATGACAGGAAAAAAAAAAGGGAAAAAGAAAGAAAAAATATTTAAAAATTAATAAAAAAATCATAAGACACCATATACAGCCAGAGGAATGAGAAGTTATGCTCCATTTATATACAATATGTCAAAATGCATTCTACTGTAAAATAAATTAATTAACCAATTTTTAAAAAATAAAATAAATCATAAGATACATTTAATATCTATCAGGGATGGTGGTATAGCTCAGTGGTAAGCACTTGCCTAGCATGTGTGAAGTCCTAGGCTTACTCCCCAGCACCATATAAACAAAAACAAACAAACAAAAATCCCATAATATCCATCAATCTGTACTTTCCTTTTACAATCTTTATATTCTAAAAAATTGAAGCATTAGGGCTGTAGCTCAGTGTAAGAGCACTTGCCTAGCATGTGTGAGGCACTGGGTTCGATCCTCAGTACCACATTAAAAAAAATATTAAAAAAAATAAAGCATTAATGTAGCTTTAAAATTTTGTAGTAACACTTAAGAAATTTGGAAATAAGTACTGACATGTTCTTTTGTTAAAAACAATAAAAACAAACAAAAAAGAGACTTTAAGTTTAGAATTATTTAAATGTACTAGTCAAAAACAAAACAAAAAAGAAAAAAAAAATAAACAAAATTAATGTACTAGCTCTAACAGATTAAATAGGTGGTAATGCTATTATTAATTATGTGCAGTAAAATATATACATAAATAATGAAATTAATGTTTTGTAAAACTAGTAAAGCTAGGATGAATAGATGAATAATAATAATTCTTCCCTTGGGTCCACTTTTCTTTCTTTCTTAACTTTTTGCCAAGAGCCTTATGCTTGCTAGGCAAGCACTCTACCACTAAACCACATCCCCAGTCCATTGGTTCATATATATAGAGAGAGATAAAACTAGAATTTAGCAATCTAAGACTCATTGTTTCTAAAGTAACAATAAGGTATTTCATCAAAGAGTTACAAACATGTCCGACCAAAATGCACTTTCTACTTTCTGTATAAAGTCGCTAAAATCACATTGTTACTTAACCATCTTAAAAGGTTACATTTCATCTAATATCAATTCAAAACTAGTTATACAGGGGCTGGGGTTGTAGCTCAATGGCAGATTGTCTGCCTAGAATGTGTGAGGCACTGGGTTCAATCCTTAGCACTGCATAAAAATAAAATAAAGGCATGCTGTCTATCTACAACTACACACACACACAAAAAAAAAAAAAAAAAAAAAAAAGAGAGAGAGAGAAAGAAAGAAAGAAACAAAGAAAGAAAAAGAAACAAAAAACTAGGTATATATTTGAAAACCCAGCATATTTAGTGCTAAGTAAAAAGCATAATCTGAACTCCTTTACAACTATACCATAAGGCTTTGCTTCAGCATTCAGTGAACATTAAATTAGTAGATGTTTTAAAATAGTCATTAAAAACTATACAAGTAACCTGTCAAAACATTGACAAAATATAGGGTTTTTAATATTTTTTAAAGTTGCAGATGAATATGACACTTTTATTTCATTTATTTATTTTTTATATGGTGCTGAAGATCAAACCCACTGTCTCTCACACGTGCTAGGTGAGCGCCCTACAGCTGAGCCACAACCCCAGCCCAAAATACAGGTTTTTAACAATTAAATCCACTTATAAACACTTGGTATTTACATAATTCTGGAATTTTGTACATATATGTATGTCCATATATACACACAAAACATACATATACACATTTATTTATAACCAAAAAGTGGGATAACTATTCACACTACTTTGTACTCTTGCTTTTTTCAATGAATTCTTTTTCCAAGACAATAAATACACTTCTACAGATTTTAATGGCTGCATGTAATTCCACCAAGTGGAAGAGCCCTAACTTATTTAATGCACAAGATTGTTTTGAACTTTTCACAGTAGGCATTTGAAAGCATTTTCGTTGTAATAAAATATAAATCTGACCCAAGATTTGTCCTGTTTGGGCAATTGTATTAAGTGAGACTCGGGTGGTGCTTGTGGGGCTTTTCAAGGACGCACTTACCCCCTGGGTACTTTGGTGTGTCAACCACTAAGGATAAAAAAGGGGCCCCAATTATTTTGAAATTGAAGACTCTTACAATTCCTTATTTTCCTCTCATACCTGGATGTTTTTTTATTTTTATTTATTTATTTATTTATTGGGGGGGGGGATACGCAGGCTTTTTTTGAAATTCCTAAAGCTATCATTCCAAATTTTTTTTCTGGTTTCTTCTCACCCTCCAGAGAAAAGAGATTCACAGACCAAAATGGTGCTTATGGTGCTTAGATGGTATTTCAATGCCCCTGTTCCATCCCAGTAATTTTGACTCTGTGGGAGGGTTTTGAAAGTCTATTGGGGAAACCTCCCCCCCCCCCGCCCCCGCCATATAATAAACATCAAACAGCAAACCCTGGGGATTTAACATAACCAAACCCTGTGAAGAGACCCATCCCGGATGCTCGCATATTAGCCCAAAACATCTCCAAAGAGGCAAACTGGGGTGACCTTAACAGAGAAAGTGGCCAACTCCAATCACATGGTGATGCACCTTTTACCCCCTTCGGTCCATGAAAAGATGAAACTATTTCCACAAGAAAGTACTGGGGAGAAAACCCCTTTTTACCACAGATTTCGACACTTTTCCGGCCAAGGAATCACAGGAAAGTGGGAGTTAGTCGCTTTGTCCCACCATCCTCAAATTTCGTAATGTTTAAAAAGAAAATATCTCCTCAGGGCTTTCCCGCGGGGAAGACCGAGGGACCGACTCCCGTCGGCTCCGGAGCAGCGTTCCCGCCTCCTAGGCGCCCCCGTGGCCTCAAGAACATTTTAGAATCCTCCCAGGAGCCCCAGCGGGAGGGAAGGCCCGCCCCCTCATGAATAGCAAGGAAAGTGGGCTCTGTAGTGCCTGCCCCCTTCCTCATGAATAACTGAGATCCCTCCCAGGAGTCCCCGCGGGAGGGAGGCCCCGCCCCCTCATGAATAGTAAGAAGGACTCCCATGATGCTCTGCCTCATGAATAATTACTGAGGGAAAGGTACCTGGAGCCCCAGCCCAGGCCACTCTTGGGTTCTCCCTGAAGACCGAAGGGCTGGAGCCGTTACCCTCTGGGGGAGGGGAGGGTGCAAACCAAGAGCAAGTCCTGGCCAGCCACCCACCCTTCTCCATTTTTATTTCCCTGCACTTACTTTTGAGCCATTTGTTTATTTATTTTTATTCCCTCCTCTCTCACCCCAAATATGTTACAAGGTCTTTCAACAAAACTTTTGTTGGAAAAACACGTCCAAATTTTATTTAATTTTTTTTTGTCCTTCTGGAACTCAGGACCTCACCCAGGCCAGGCAAGTGTTGTACCATTTAGTCGCATTCCCAGCCTTCTTTATTTTTTATCTTCAGAATTTCGCTAGGTTGACCAGTATGCCTCCGCCTTCCAAGTCGCTGGTATTACAGGCTACCATGCCCAATTAAAACAAACAAACCTGTTTGCCTGTCTACCTAGGATCAAAGGAAGATGAATGTCTCTAAGGCACTCTAGAATGGAGCCCGAGACAGATCTTCCTAGTTTGGCTCTCTTCCCTTGAAGATTAAATTCTCATTCATTTATTTATAGAGTCAGTAACTATTTATTGAAGCTTGCGCTGGGCCAGGCAGTGGAGTAGACCCTAAGGACACAACAGAAAACAAGACACATAAGTTTCCTGCCTTAATGGAGTTTATTAGTCTGATGGGGAAGATAGAATAAACAGACAAATAAGGTATGTACAGATGGTGAGAGTGGTGCTATAGAGAAATAAGGCAACAGAGAATTAACAGATGTGCATAGAGAGGGAGCTCCTTTAGATGGACTGGTTATGAAAATTCCTTTGAGTAGGTGACATTTAATTTGAGAACTAATGCAGAAGGGTCTGAGGTTAGAGGGAACAGTGGGAAAGATTCTTTTACTCTGGGGGACAATTCTACACTATAGCCAACAAATAAAAATAAAATATGTAAACAAAAAAATACATCAACTGTATAAAGGTTGATGTTAAAACTTAGAAATAACTGATACTCTGTTACAAACATTAATCAACTTTGACATTGTATCATCTTATTTTTCCTCTGGTCCTGGGGATTGAACCCAGGTCCTTGTGTACATAAGGTAAGTACTCTACTGAGCTATATTCCCAGCCCAATGTTGTATCTTTTTAAGCCTCCACCCCCCCTTTTTTTCTCCTGTCTCAAATACATTTGCAGATCCTTTACAAGGTCTTAGCTGCTAGGCAGTGGGCCAGGAGTGCTTAATGGATACAAAGATTCTGAATGGTAAGAATTTAGAGTTATCCAAAGTACTACGGAAAGGCATTGAAGTTTTAAACAAAGAGTGATATGATCTGATTTACACCATTAGAAGATAGTTTTAGCATTTATGTGGAAAATGAATGAAGTTTTAGATGAAGTTGGAAGAGTTGAAGGCGATATCTGTTAGGTGTTTTTGCAGGACCTGGAGAGATGGACTCAAGATACACTTTGAGCATATGCTGATAACTTGCTGATGAATTGGATTATGAGGGCAGAGGGAAGAAAAAAGGATATAGGGATGATTTGCAGACTTCTGACTTTAATAAGTGAATAATAGTTGATCCCACTTACTGATACTCACAAGTGGGGAGTTTATCTGGTGGAGAATTAAATGTTGAATTTTATATCCAGTGACTCCGGAGGCTGAAGCAGGAGAATTACATGTTCAGGGCCAGCATTGGCAAGTTAGTGAGAACCTCTCAAAATATATTTTTAAAAAAGTGGGTGTTGGTGGTGCTGGGGATATAGTTTAGTAATAGAGCACCTTTGGTTTCAGTCTCTAGTACCTCCGCATTCACATATACACAAAGAATTTAATTTTGCTGATGGTGAATTTGAGATGATGTTGAGACATGCAAGTGGAGCTGTTAAGGAAGCAATTGAATGCACAAACCCAGAAGTTAGAGGAAAATCTCTGAGCCCGGGACATAATTTAAAAATTTTCTGCATTGAAGGGGTATCAACATTCAGAGATTGGAAAAAGGAGGACAAGTTCTCAATAGAGATTAAAAACCAGTATCTACTGAAGTAAGTGAGAGAAAATCAGGAGATTATGGAATCACAGAACCCTCAAAGAGGGTACTTCAAGAATAGAAAGAGGTTACCTGTGCTAAGTCCTGCAAAGCTTAGTGAAGTGTCTGCTAGATGAGCACCTCAGGGGATACTGGCAAGGACCTGCTGCCTGGGCACATAGAAGCCAATACGAGTTTTTTTGTTTGTTTATTTGTTTGAATTAGTTATACATGACAGTAGAATGCATCAATACTAGGTTTAATATATATATTAATATATTAAATATTAAATATATATATAGTTTTAGTTTATATATATATATATATATAGTTTTAGTATTAGGTAGACAAGTTATTTTGGTTTTAATGTGGTGCTGAGAATTGAACCCAGTGCCTCATGCATGCTAGGCGAGCATTCTACCGTTGAGCCACAACCCCAGCACCCCCAATACTAGGTTTTTGCAAAAAGAAAATTTTATTGCATGGAGTTCTAAGCTCAGATCTGCCTCCTCTCCGTATTAGTTGGTATCAAGTGAAGTGACAGGAAGGGAGACGGCAGAAGCTGCTTATTGAGTGGATATCAGGAAGGGAAAGTTTTAGGGTTGTTTTGTAAGTACACAGATAGATGGTCAGTATGCCTCCTCACAGGCTGCGTGTTTCTTTTTAGGGAAGGTTATAGTCTGTGTGGGGGATTTTGAGCTTGTGATGTCAAAAGGTCATTAATTAAATGGACTGGCTTCTTTTGTATATATCCATTCTTTTTTTTTTTTTTT